GGGGGGGGGCATACGTCTCGAATCCTCGATTCGACTGAAGGCAACCAACCAGGCCATAGTTTGTTTGTTCGAATAAAGAGAAGCACATTGGCATGATAGCGGTCATTTTGCGCTTGGAAAAAAGCAAGACAGACAGAGACAACAGAGGGAGAGAAAAGAATGACAACTACCAATGGCGCCCTCCGACCACCCGTTCAGGCAAGAGTGAAGACAACAATCCTCACAACGACAGCAGAAAGTCGTTCCAGGCGACTGAACACGCAGGCCAGCACGCAAGGGCCACGCACGGCAAGAGCCGCCAAAATACAAAAAGAAAGAAAAAAACCCAGTTATCAACAGGAAAAGGGATCATCATTGGAAACTCTTAGTGGACAGTTCGTGATGAAACACGAAGTTCACGACCATGTGCTTTTAATTCATCCATGAGAGAACCCTTTGAACAATTTGTGCTGAAATGATGATAGGCCGAACCTACAGTTTTTTTGTTGGTGTTTGTTGGTCCCTCCCGATCTTTCCCGATTAATGATTAAGCTATCCTGCAGACTCTTCTTTATTCTACCACCAACAATCTATGCTATAGTATTCGAACCTACAGCTAATAATGATCAAGTTATTCTGCTATCAAAGCAATCAATAAGTCATACGCATCCTGTAATGTGTGTAATTAATTTGATAATTCTTCGAATTGACCGTGTACGAAACCAAACGTGCCATCTTTCTGGCCTTCACCTTTGTACTCTAATCTTCACCTTTGACACACATCCGCTCGATCAGATCTGCCTGCCTGCCCGTGTCTTCTTCTCTATGGAGCGTTTTGATTGATGTGAATTCTACGCAATAAACGCTTGGCGTGAAATATTTCCTAAGCATGGCTCAGTTACTAATTGCCGTTTTGTCTATTATATTTGTGCCTGTTGTTTTACTTATTTCGGCAGCAGTTTTATTAGCAACGTTTGGCCAAAGTTTTGGTCTCAGGAGAGCCTATGTTGGTATTCTGCTCAAAGTTTTCGAGGTAAGTCAGACTGATGCCAAAGCTAGAGTCCCTTAGCCTTACTAGAATCTAGATTCTAGATCTAAGTACGGACGGGGTGCCCACTATGGATGGCAGGCCGATCGCCCGACTCCGTCGCCTCAAAAACGAACGTGTTTTTTTCAGTTTCAGGCTATCGAGTCGGGCGATCGGCCTGATCCTGCCGTAGTGGGCACCCCTTTGAGGCGACCAAGTTGGGTGATTGGCCGATCCCATCTGTACCGTGCCGTAGTGGGCACCCCGTATTACACGTACAGTTCATTCGACAAACTGATAGTTTAACCAATGGACGCTAGATCTAGATCTGGGTCATCGTTAAACTGACCGTTTGTCGATGAGAAAAGTTCCACTTAGGCCCCTTTTATGATGTGCTGTTCATTCATCGACAAACTGACAGTTTAACCGACAGATGCTAGAGATTCTAGATCTTGGTCATCGTTGAACTGAAAGTTTTTTTGGTTTGTTTTAGTAGAAGTTTTACGACGCCCGCAACTGCATTGTAAGGTCAGAAAAGTGTTACAACAAGAGAGTAACAAACATAAAAGGCAAGCTCTATTCGGACTCGAGTCAGAATATAATTTTTATCTTTTCAGACTCGAGTCTGAATATGGGTTTTATCTATTCGGACTCGGGTCTGAAAAAAATGTTTTATTTATTATTTATTCGGACTCAGCTTCTTAGTGAGTTATACGTGAGTGTAAGGAGGTTACATAGTATAACCGTCATCGGGGGATTTTGCGTAAAACCAGAATTAGAACTAGAATTGCCTACCTAACAAGGACTGTGTAATTGTGTCAAAAGTGAAAAGACTACACTCTCATTAGCTCATTCGCTACGTATTATTTTCGGCTTGTGGAGGAATTTTTTTCGGGAGGGCGAAATGAGATGATGACTAGTGCGCAGTTCACAGGTCTTGGGGACCATAAATTCAAATAAATATAAATATATTATATAGAATCTATATATACCAACATTTTCAGTATGATTTGTAGAATATATCTGTATTGTTTATTTGAGTATTTTTCAACTTTGGTTCCTGTAAGAGGCGATTATGCAACACAATTGTGATTGACTGCGGATAAAATTTGAAAACAAAAAATTTATAATCTCAGATGAAACTCAAAAAATATGTTTGCACCTAGATCTAGATTTAGTCAAATTATACATCAAAATAACCATAATTGTGTATAGAACAGGAAAATATTGAAAAATGAGCAGTTATTTACATACATTCCATAATATTTGTACATTTGGATCATAACCTCCGATATTGAAAAAAAAGTAATTTTATAATAATTTTGAAAAAAGGATCCCAAACAGAAAAAAATACTCGTATCTTATATGGAATTATTCAGAATTGCATTTGGAATAATCCTATACCTGTCTTGGGGGGTACTTTTTGAGTAAATTCACAAAAAAGTAGTGATTTTGGGGAGAAAAAAATATTTTGACTATGTTTAGATTTAGGCCTAGATCTAGCACTCAAAAATATTGATTTCTCAATTTCAGTGCACTGGCAATTTGAGTCCAGTAGTATCAATATTATAAAGAAGAGTCCTACACTTCTTTAGTGAGCAAAATAATGATACATTTTGTTGTGTAAAAGTACTAAGACTGGTGTCTTTGCTATAATTTGGGCTTCGCGATAAAACAATGTCGCATAAACTTCGAAATCGTGTTTCAAAACTGAATAAAAACTTCCGATTTTTGGTGGAAACGCTTGACCCGGAAGTCAACTTTATATTCACCACCACTACAGCATCATCATTACTTCCACCTCCATTTGTCTTTCAACATGTTTAATTTCATTTTGTTGTGTGTTATAGTTTTTCTGTAATTATTTTTTTTAATCACAGCGCACAAAATGGACAGCCGTGGCCTCTTCCCAACACCTCTTCCCACAGCAAGCCAAGAGTGCGATATCGCTCTGCGCAATCTCATTGGTCGACCTAATTAACTTTTCCCCCGGCAAGGTTAACTCAACTTAGTTGTTCTGTTCAAACTAATGATCCAGGGAGGGCTAGTTTAGATAGACAGCGAAAGATCTTGTCAGTTTGTTAATGTTTGAGCGCTTAATCAGCTGCTTGCACTGTATGCTTCCCGGGAAGCTGAGAATATTTCGGAGTGTTCTATGGTCTGCTGGGGTAATAGTGTAAAAGCGCCTAGAGCCTGCTGTTGAGCGGGGATATGCGCTATACAAATGCTATTTATTATTATATTATTAGATCTAGTAACTGGATATATTAAAGCTCACGTCTCGATTGTTATCATTAAAATATAAAAAATTTTCAGAAATTCTAGAAATACTATATTTAGGAACAAGGGTCTGAAGTCGAAAGGGACGTCGTGCTGGACTCAGTTCAGAGGGGAGATAAGGACAGTAAATGTTTGAAAGGAAAGAAAAAGCAAACCACGCCAGAGCACCCGCCAACCACCCACAACTGAAAGTTAGTTGACGAGAGCAGTTCCATTTCGACGTGCAGGTTTTTTTATCGTTAAAGTGTCAGTCCTTGACAAAACACACCAAAAAAATTAACTTGGTAATCCGGCATTAAATTGTGTTCCCTGCGTGCTGCGTAATTTTTGGCTCATTTTGGGTCGCTGTTCATGAAAAGCTTAGATCTAGATTTCTATTAGGCTATTTTTTTTTTTATTTGACCAATACAGTAGTCTCCGCCTAAGATCCCAACGCTTACGATCCCGGTTCGCTTAAGATCCCGTTGTTTTAGGAAAACAGAATTTTTACTATACAAAAGTCACCCCTAAGATCCTGCTCTGATGGTCTACATTCGGCTAAGATCCCGCATTTCAGATCATAATTTGCGAAACAAAAACCCGGGCGGGCACAGCCAATCAACCAAGAGTGAAAAGTTGAGATCAATAAACTGTCCGTTGTGTCAAAGATCAGCCACTATCGTAAATGTGATCACACACACATTGTAAAACTCGATGAAGTGATACAATGTTTGCCCCAGATGGGATCACACCAGGGTGTGAACTGACCAACACATTTGTTTTCCCCATGCATCGCACTCACACCTGAGCTCTCCCCCCTAAACTTACATCACTCGCTGGGTGGGTAGGGCCTACACGTTCGCTCCAGGCGGGATCACATCGAACCGTGAACTCTTCCCTGACCATTGCAGCAGTTGTCTCTACTCCCGAATTTGCGAGACAGACTGAATTTTAATTGGTGTGTTCACAACGTAATGGTGTGTAACGACAAAGGCGGTTGGGGGGGGGGGGGGTGGACTCGTTCAGAGATGGAAATCTATAAATTTTCGACAGGTAAAGGGGAGGGGCAACTGGATAAGTGTAGATCTTGAGACTCATGATAGGATAATAAGTGAAAATGGCACGCCTCATGCCACTATGCACCATGATAGGTCATCAAGGTTAACCACTCTTTGCTCGCCATATGCCTTAAACCCACCAAGGGGGCACGTCAGTTCATTGTAGAGTGGAGGGAGACCATTTTACAGATTGTGAGCCTTAACATGGGTCACCATAGATTCTTCCCTGGGTTCGTCGGTTACGATCCCGGTTCACCTAAGATCCCGCATTTCCTTGCTCCCGAGCACCGGGATCTTAGGCGGAGACTGCTCTATTTAGGAAAATTTTGGAATGCATTTTCAACTCCGTCTGGGGCAACATCGAAGAAGCCGTTCCCTCGTCGTCAGGCCTTCAGTTCGCCGGCCGGAAAATATCTGGCGACGTCGCAAGATATCTGGTCACTGGACTGAGAACCCTTCGATATTGAGAAGATTTCTCGTTTCCACGCTCAGTTTTACCGGGAAGTTGACAGGATTCCCACCATTGTCTCGATATCCTGCAGTTTATCGATCAGTGAACTGTACATATGTAAATGGGGCCTAACTTTAAACTAAAGAGTCTAGATCTAGATATTTAGATCTGACACATAAAAGCTCGCCTTCGCTGGAACTAGCGGTCCGGTACTAGCTAGAATGCTTTCTTTACAAATGAAATCAGGGGCTCGTCAAATTAATGGAATTGAAGAAACTGGCATTTTTTTGCCATGTTTGGCAATTTTTATCGAATTTTTGTTATTTGGGTCAACACCACTTTTGTCCAACATACTTGTAGATTTTACTTTAAAACGTTAATTAAACATACAAAAATATAAGTTTTAAATTTCCAAGGACTATCAAGCTATTGAAATAACCAAACTTTGGCGCCCATTCTCTAGTTAGTTCTAACGCTGAAACCAGGCGACCCCACCTCCTTCAATCGCAAGTATCTCGACTTCTATTCAAGATAAATGGGTGGGGTTTTTTTCCTTCGATCGCAAGACAACTGAACAAGATTTAAGATGATACAAATAACTCCACACGCCCAAGAATTGACATGCCAGCGCATGATTCCACCGCGACGTGACACTTGCTCTTTCTCCAAAACATTTTAGTTTCCTCAGGCATAACTCTAAAACATTTGGTTTGGGTATTTTTTAAAGTGATTTTCTTGGCTTCTTTGGTTGTACTTTGTATAGAGTATAAATTGTCATTGTTTCTATTAGAACATATATGATAAGCTTTACAGAGAAAGTATTAAAATTAAATATAGTTTCTGCAGAAAATGCTTTGTCTACTGCTATTTAAGCTGTCACATGTTACTGTTTTAAATTGGTCATTGTTTTAATATATTTTACGTTGTTTTATTCTTTGTCTGTGGCAGGCTTGCAAATTGAAAGTACCGGTGACTAGTCCTGGTACTGTTGAAGAGGAAGACAGTGAAGAGGAGGAAGAAGAAGAGGGTCCAGTTAAAGAGGAAAAAGAATATCAAATCGATGAGTTGTTCTCAAGGAAAGTAGATGGGCATTCTCCAGATGAAAATGATGGTAAGGATTACTTTCATTTACTTAGAGTGCATGCTTCTGTTTGTTTGACTTTGTATATAGAATACTGTCAAATGCTTGTCTTTAGACTTCAGAAAATTCCCTTTCGTTACAGAATTTTTATTTCTTGTTGAGCTTTGGCTGTTGAAATTTTTTACTGGACCAGAGTCAATGACTTTTTATAATTCTTTAAAATGATATTGATTTTTCATGTTAAAAAATATAACTTTGTCAATTCGTTTTTTTGGCTTTTTTCCCCCCTGTGTATTCATTGGAGCTCTTGTGGCCTAGTGTTTTTAAAAAATAGTTATGTGTTGGCCTCTCATTCAAAAGTCCTGGGTTCAAATCCGGGTAGCAACCGAAAAATTTTCTTCTCGAAAATTGTTTCCTTTCACATCCTTTCCTTCTCTCTAGCAATATTCTGTCGTCTGTGCTTTCCTCTCCTCTTTCTGTCCCCCACCCCCTCACCTCCTTTGCCCCCTCCTCTGGGCTCCTGACTCTTTCTGCAGCCTTTCTACTGCTACTCCTTTGCTCCTTCTTACTGCTGTCTTTCAGCCTCACCCCTGATCTTCTGGTAGGAAAGATCTACACCTAGCCTTCTAGGACAAGGGCGAAAAATCTCGGAGGGCCCGTGTGCAAGTTGAGCACTTAAAAGATCCCTTGGTTGTCTAAAATCGATAAGCCGCTGCCCGGGCAAAATTCAAAATTTTTTACCAACTGAAAATGTTATGTGTGTCCCGCGCACTCATATGACCTTATATATGCAGTTGCGAGCGCTGGTAAACACTTACCAAAAAAAGTAATAAATGTGTTATCATTATTCAGAAATCGTTTCGTATGTTATTATTTTGCTTTTACATTGGGTCCCACTTATTTATTACAGTTACAGTTTTGGTAATGACAGAATTTTTGCTGTATAGTCTAAACAGGCTTATAATAAATTCCATTGATGAGTCCAATCTCTTATCATGTATAGTAAAAAATTCTCTTGTAGCATCATTAGGATAGGCATGCTTGGCTATAACAGTGGTCCAGCCATTGATAAGATCCTAAAACAAATTGACAAGAAAGCAGAAAAAGTAAATGAAGCAAATCAACATCATACATGGTGAATTGCACCTACATGACCCAAAGCACCAAAGCAGGCTATAGCTGATTGTGTAGATATTGCACGTTTTATTATGTGTTATACCCTGGTGCAGGGGAGGGAAGGGGAAAGCTGGATGTACTTTCTTGTTGGTGCAGATTTTCCAATCAATCAGTGACTAACTGACCTTGGTCAGGCACAACATTGTCTCATTATCTTCCTGTAGGGTGGCGAGACTTGTAACAGAATAAATGATTGAATGAAAAGTGAGCACAGGGCACTAGATCTTACTACCGGAGATCTATGTGTGTTCCTCTTGCCCCAACTGTGGAAAAATACAAATAGTTGTAAAATGCACAGAGCCTAATCTGTAGAACTTAGTATGTGCTAAATAAATGCAATTATTATATTATAATTTATTTGGTACTCATGCATCCCAAATGATGTCTAGTCAACCTCCATGAAACTACTGAGATACTAGGAAAGGAAAGATAAAGATGAGAAACAAAAAGTATCACTGATATATAAATACAAAAGAAATAATATTATAATATAACTGACAAATTGGCAGTGGGTATACAGTAAAAGCTATTCCATTTTTTGTTAATAATTAGAGTGTATGTTAGGTTGATCCTTGCTCATAACAAGATTTGGCTATAATAGAGATGTCCCGTCAGTCCTGTTATAGCTGTAACCCTCTGTATGTATGTCAAATGTTATGAAGTCCTTCGAATCAAAGTTGGGCAGGTAATGTTTAGTTTTATGATCGAGTGGTCATCTCTCATTTACTCTGTAACAGTTCATTTATTTCCCCCTGGTTCTTGGAATACAATGGTACGCTTTTAAATTTTGACTGTTAAGCGTCTTAAGATTTTTTTACCTCTTAGCTTAATTGAAAAGATCCTTTGGAATGTTGCTACGGTTAGAGAACCTTTTTACAGTTTGTTGGAACCAAAGTATGAGGCTACTGACCTTTTCTTGCCTTGTATTCCTCTGATCAAGGAAAGGGAGATTTAAGAATATGGATAGCGATTAGTATTGATTTTTAAGTGAATGCAAAGGCATAATGATGGGGGGGTTTTTTCACTCTCTTTTCACAGAGGTCCGGGTGATTGATAAGGATTTTTCTTTGACTGCATTCAAAGGATTGCAAAAACCTGAGTGGGAACCTTTTAAGAAGGAATTTGAACTGTCTGATATTATGTACTTCTCAAAGTGCGGTGTGGAGGTAAGTGTATTCTTTCAGAGGCAAGTGTAGTGTCGGATAATTGTGTCCAAAGTGTATTAGCACTTGCTCTGGAGAGTCTCCCTATCCATTTCATGAATGGTTCCATACAAGGTTACATACCCACCACCTTATAGTTACCGGTGTGATTTGCATATTCTTTTAAATGTGTAATGCTTATTTGATGGCACCTTTAAATCTCAACCCTGTTATTTATTTACATCATTGACTGAATAAAAATGTCTTTTGACTGTCTCTGCTATACATACTTTTCAATGGTCTCAGTGGATATCAGATCTTTTCCTTTCAGGACATAAAACAAATCTGGCAATCTCTCTCAACTTTCTGCAGGGTCTTTTTCTTTGTGAGAAAATTAATTTTTTCTGCTTATTGTTGAACAAACAGTTTGGTCTGTCCTGGTCTTTCACAAACTGATGGAGATTATTCAGTTCCCATAATGTTGTGTTCTTGTACATGCCATTTTAAGATGGGTAATGATGAGAAAAGTCTTTTTTGTTGTTGTTGTTGGTTGTTGTTTTTTTGTTTAATTTTTGACTATTCACTACCTCAGAATAAAAATTGTCTGATATTTTTGGCTGTTTTCAGTTACTAAGACCATGAAATCAGAAACCACTTGTTCTATCTGCTCTATAAAAATCGTAAAACTATTTGGAGTCGTAATCTGCTTTTGAAGAAGCTCGACATTTTGTGAAACTCAAATTTCTTAAATGTCAAATTTCTCAAAACGAGGTACTGAGCAAATAGATAATTGTAATTCTAAGTGTATTTACATTGAATTTTATTTGTTGGGTTTTAGTGTAATGATGAAAACTACTGTGTCAAAATGAAATTAATATTCTTTTTTTCAGGCGATCATTGATGATGATGTAACAAAGCGTTTTTCTGCTGAAGGTATGTTGTGATAATTACTTTAATATTTGGATTTACTGAATTAGTGAGGCATTAATAAGATACAGAGAATTGCATCAAAAGATGGTTTGTATGTGGTGTTATTTCTCAGTGATATTCCTCCAAATTTGTTGGATTTATTGATCCAAAAATTAATGTTAAATCCAGCAAAAATATATTTACAAATATTTTCCTTAGTGTTACTTGATGTCTATTCCTTAATCTGCACAAATTTATGTCACTCTTGGAGAATGAAGTGATGAGAAGATATGTTTTTAAATAGAAAGAGGGTAAACCAATGTTAATGTAACTAACGCACTATTGGGTAAGGTTTGTCACCCTTGCTAAATTTCTTTCTACTTTATCTGTTATTTCATTTTTCTTTTGAGTTCTTTCACCTGTGTAGCAGTCTCATGATTTTATTTATTTAAATAAGTTTTGACCAACAGTTTTTATTTTGTATTACAGAACTTGCATCTTGGAACTTATTGACGAGAACTCACAAACCTCATCTGTTTATGAGGTAAGCTTGCCAGAACAAACCAAAAGTTAGACTAGAGGCTTACATCTGGGAAACCTCAGAGATTATACAGTTGTGTCCCTTACATATTTAGATGTATGTTAATGTATTTTTAAATTATTGCTGTGTTCATATGCCCTTACATGATCGTGCTTTGATGTGAATTAAGTTTGAAATAGACAAATACTTTTCAGAAAACAACAGCTGTGAAGATGAAATATTTTTTTGTTTGTGGACACATGTTCATGTCAAGAAAATTTTTGTCAGAAATACATAAATATGTACCCAAAAAAATATTACACTTCAAAGGTTTTTGAAAAAGACAATATTCTCTTTGATGTATGAATTAATAATCACAAGATTATTATTCGTATTCAAAAATTCTGTGCAGTAGGTCTTGCCTAAGTTATACTGTTTTATCTATTTGAATTTGAAGTGTTGTGATAATAGAATTATTGTTCTCCCTGTATGTTTCCAGTGTACGCCTCACAGCTTTGTGGTGCATAGGCTGCTTTGTGCGCTATGCAGTATTGTTGCCCTTCAGGTAAGCAGGTTGTTAAGTGGTTTATTTTTGTTTTTGGTTTGGGTTTTTTCCCTTTATGCTGGACTCATTTGTTATCGTTCTTTGTTTTGAAGATATCTTGTTTTGCAATTATGACCCATCATATTCGTAGACTTTGCCAGAAAGCAGATAAATGTTTCTCTCATTTTTTATTTTTTCATGGGTTTAAGATATTTTCTTTTTACTTTTTACATTTTTTCCGGGGGGGGATCTCGAGACTTTCTTTTTAGTGAACTTCTTTTTGACTGCAGGTGACTGGTGGTTGGTTCTGTCTAATTATTTTCAATGTTACTATTTTTCCAGTCTCTTTTAGCTTTTTGAAATGTGGCTATTTTTTCCTGTGTCTGTGTGAACTGCAAGTATGTCAACTTTCTTCCCACCTCAATCAAACAAATTTAAAATGATCTGTAAGTTTTGAATTACTGTTACATTGTTATAGGCTATGAGTTTATTTTTCACTTTTTGTTTCTCTCATTGGAGTGGACGTAAATTTTAGTATTTCTTCAATGGACATTTAACATGCTTTCATGGAAAGATGTGTGGAAATTGATTTAAGGAAATTTAGAGACATAAATGTTTTTTAAAAATATTTATAAGCCGTTGTTTTCACTTTTGCTGTTTTTCAGGGTTTTGTTTTTTCAGATGCTAGTTTCATACCTTAGCTGAAATACAATTTCAATCTTCAGCTGAATTTATGTTGTCTACCTCTACTGTCTTTCATGTTGCTGATTTTTTAAATTCATGACTTGCTGTATTTTTCTTTTTACCGCAGATTGACAATATTCTTCATTGGGTTCACCTACATGTTCTTTGCTACCGCTTTTATTGGCTTCCTGAAAGAAGGAAGGTATGTATAGCATCATCGTTTTGTGACCTTTCATTTGAAATTCAGTTTATAAAATATAAAGAATAAAGAGTTGCCTTGTTTTTGGGTTGTTGTTTTTTTAAAATAGTTTTATCTAAATAGAATTTGTTGTAAAGCTTGTATTGAAATAATACATGCTACTCATTTTAGGTAAAATTGGACAGTTGAGCATCTTTATGCGCTGGTCTATAGAGGTTGTATGTTGAGCGTTGGATATTACAGAAAAATCGTAAAGTGTTTTTTAATATTTCAAATGTTTCTGTTGTTGCCCATAGGGGAAAAGTAAACAGGAGAGACTGTGCAAATAATGTTCACATTGCTTTTATGTCCCTTTCGAAAATTAAAGAATACTCAAGGTATAGAATCGTGGTGAGTGCAATTACTTGCAAAATGAAAAGGCACTTCTTATATAGTGGGTCACACATTGACAGTGTTCTCAATTCTTTTGGTTTCCGGTTGCTGTCTCAGAATAACATGAGAATTTCACACACCCCTCCCCCCATTTCCTCTCCTTGTTCCTACCCCTTACATTTCTACCTCATCACTTTTGGCAGCATCAAGAGACAACTATGTTATTATGCCAACATGGTGTGCTTCAGGATTTTGTGCAGATCGTTTTCTGCTGTGATTACATTTCATAACAGGTTGGTGACTCCTCATGTCTAGCTGAAAATTAGTTTCTTTGTACATATAATGTGTGTAAGCAAGTTTAGTGTCCACATGTGGAATTTGTTTTCTTATTTGTCAATTATGTTGTAAAAAAGGATTATTTAAGAACCTAAACCTTTCAATTGGGTACAACATTGATTATATATATGGTACAGTTAGATTGATTGTAGGCCGTGTTCGTAAAAATGTTTCTTTATGAAATGATTTTTTGATAAAACAGACTAAATACAAAATGTCAGTGTTTAGGTTTTTTTGTATGTACCAACTTTGAAGCATCCACAGAAAAAATGAATAAAAGTTTGGTTTCCCTATCCCCTTTTATAGTTTGTGATAGAATTGGAAGTACTGCAAATGGAAAAAGATATTAAGCTTTTCATTGAACAGTGGTCTTCAGCCAATAGCACATGGGATAAAAACACAATTTGCCCTGAAGCTTGCTGGCCGTGCTGAAGCAAACTTTAAAAAATATAATGTAAGTGCATGTCCCAAAGTGACCTGGAGACGCACAGTAGAGTCTGAAATGAAGTTCTGGAATCATTCATGGGGGGCGCTGACCAAGATGGCCCAAAACAGACAGAGCTGGAGATCTTTTGTTGCTTCCCTAAATGCCAGATGGCGTAACGGGTAGTAAGTAAGTGCTTGTTCCACATCGACAACTCTGTCTACTGGCACTATCCTTTCTGCGCTTGTGTCAAAAATAAATCAGTCATAAGATGACTCATTTCGCATGGAACTGATGGAAGCCAAGGGAACACCACATACTTTCCTTTATTACCTGAAATTGTGGCTTTGCCAGGGAGAAAAATATATATGGGACAAGGTGTGAGACCAAACTGCGTGGTTGGTTGACAGTGCAAGAGAGTGGGCTGTGCTATCATCATAATGGTCGTTGTCGGTAATTGCTCAACATAGGAAAACATCACGGAATGAAGCAGCCCGCTGCAGGAGATCAGATGTAAGGTGGTTGACATCAGTCAGTGAAAGTTGCCATAGTACTTGCTATAGATTATTCCCTTTCAAAATTCGATTAATGACATGTTCATATAAGAGCCTTTTTTTTTTTTAATTGTTACCCGAGGTATATGCTATGAGCTGGAGACCCCTTTACTTCTACTCCAAACTTTAAAAATGTGATATTCCCACTGTTTTTGCTTTACTTTGACAACCAGTGGTTATACCCACCCGTGCTACTTCTGAACATTCTTTTTAAAATTAAATGCATATTACATTGTTTTAACAACCTTTACTCCACTTTTTGTTGAGGGGAAAAAAGTAATATTAATATTGAACCCCCTAAGTCCTTAATGAAGGTAAACGGATTTTGGCTGCAGCAACAACAAAGAAAAGGTGTGGGGGGGGGGTGTTGTGGGGGGATGGGAATTGAGGTCATTAGAAGCTTTTATGGTAACATTTAACTAAAGCATAGTGCATAAATTAATATTTTATTATCAGCATTTCTTTTGTCCCATATTATTTGTTTTTCTATCATGAGATGATTTATACCTTTTAAATGGTGCTCTGTATGTGTTTGTTAGGTAGGGGTTCAATAGTTGTGTACCTTTCTTCCATTTCATCTATGATTTCTGTCTGTTTTATTCTGAATATTTATGACCTGCAAAGATGGGGGTTTCTTTGATGTCCTATCAAAAACCAGGTTTGTTTGCACTGAGATGGTCTCTGATCTCACACTGGGGGAAAAAAAACTCCCCTCAAGAGTTGAAAATTTCTTTCAAATGCTTTACTCTCTCATTTTATCTTTCGTTGCCAGGGAGAACATGGCAAAGAATGGTATTGTAGTGGCCAATCACACTTCAATCGTGGATGTTTTCATGCTCTCTCATGACAACTGCTATGCTATGGTAAGTTTGTGTGGAATTATATTTTTCTGTTTTGTTATAGACCAGCGTCCTGTTTTAGAAAGAATGCAGTGTCAATCATTTCACCATACTTTATGGAAATAAAGGATGTGCTCTAATTTTGTAGATTATTTTTTGTAACCACTGAACTTTTATGACTAGACAAGGATGCTAATGTAAGTTTTATAAACTGTCACATGTTTCATTGTTATGTTTATTTACATGTAAGGGCATTACTACTGTTTAAGGGGAGGAGCGACCCTTGATTTTGCAGATTTTGGGTCTGGTTATGCAAATTTGATCTTGGCTGATTTTTGAAGATCAATCAGTTTTTTGTCTAAAAATAGCATGGATACAATTGAGAAAGTCTTTATTCTCCTGGTAAATTGCCTTTGAAAACATTAGGATGGATTAGATTAATATAGTGAATTTTCACAATTATTGTCGTTTTTCACAAAATGTAATTAATTTGCAGTTTTTTCCCTACTCCTTCCTTAGTTTTCATTGTTTTGACGTGAAACTTTCAGGAAACATCAATGTAATAGAGATATATTTGCGGAAAAAAATAACACTTTTCCATTGGCAAGCGATTACGCAACCTAAATTTAGAAAACATTTTTTATACTTAAAGGAAAATTCTCATATTTTCTTGTCTTTTTCAGTTATTGAAAAAAACTTGCTGTTATTCTGATAGGGTCTGGTTCAGGTATACTCTCACTGAGTTTGGTCAAATTTAGTCAGTAAATAAGAAAGCCTTAGGGATTTGAAATTCATTATTTTCAAGATGACGGCCGTTTCCATAGCAACCGCTGTAGCTATGCCAAAATAAAATTGCATATCAAGAGATTTTACTATTTCTACTTAATATGTGTACTTAGATTTTGATCTCGGGCAGTAAACATAGAAAATGGTCCTCAAGGGTAGCTCCTCCCGTTAAATGGATATGCATATTCATGTTGAAAAATTATGTATCATACTGTCCTTTGGTGTTTTACAGATTGGTCAGGCACACAATGGTTTCCTGGGATTTTTGCAGAGGGCTTTGTCTCGAGCTACATCTCACATCTGGTTTGAGCGCTCAGAGACTAAAGACAGAAGTATAGTGGCCAGGAGGTACTCAACAGCCTAGGCAAACTAAATCTGCACCTTGGTTCTTCTTTTTTTTTCTTTTTTTAAAAACTTTTTTGTGTGTGTCGATGTATTTGCAAGAATTGCTCGCTCATCCATAATTCATTTATTCATCTTCCAAAGTCTGTAAGGCATATACATCAAAGTGAGTAACGCACATATGTTTTTCCCCCAGGTACAGTGCAAGTTTGGTTGTTGTTGTTGGGTTTTTTTTTTTGGGGGGGGGGGGAGTTCTTTCACTGACCTACGTTAATTGTTCTTAGATCTGGTTTAAAAAAAAAAATTCTCGCAGATGTTATCAATGACCACTTCTGAGAGGGCATATACTAGGTGCATATGTTTAATATTTGTTTTGGTTTATTTCACAGATTGAGAGCACATATTGAGAATCCATCAAAGATGCCTATTCTGATTTTCCCAGAAGGTAAGATTGTCAAATAAAATGTAGAAATTACTGATATATGATTACAACAAACTGTGTTTTTATGAGTACATGTTTTTTCGTTTTCTATTTTCTCCTTAAGTGAGTTAGTATAAAACAGTTATTGCTCCCAAGTCAAAATAATTATTTGTAATTTTGCCATTGATAACTTACGTATTCCTCTTCAACCACACAAGTTGGCTAAACTCCCCACCCCCACTCCAAAGGAGCAAAAGACTGTATGTGTCGATAGCATTTATTCCAATGTTATAACAAATTTGCCTTCCTTGTAATGCCTTTTGGTAGGTTCTCCATCACCAGTGCCTGTGAGAAAATAATATGCTTCACAAAGTTTACAAATTAAAACCAACACATCTGATTTTCAGGTACCTGCATTAACAATACATCTGTGATGATGTTTAAAAAGGGTAGTTTTGAAGTGACTGAGACGATATACCCAGTTGCTATCAAGGTTGGTATATTTTATTTATCTAAACCTCCATGTTTTCTGTCTGTCTTGTCCATGCCTCTCTGAAAGCTCAATATGGTCCTTCTATCTCTCCAGGGTGATATTTAGATCTGTTTCCTTTCCTTGGCTTCCCTTCAAGTGTTTTGATATTTTGATCAATTCAGCAGTGGCTGTGTTCAGCGCCATGTGCATGCTATGTTATACTTGTGTTATCGCAATAGAATAGGCTTATTTGAGTGTCTAGGAGATATCTCAATTGGTTGCTAACTGCTTCATTTTCATAATAATTTTAATTCTTTTCATGCATGTATATATGAACAGTTTGGCGACAAAATGCGACATATCCATTTTGTCGGTTTTGAGAAAATGGAAGATTTCTATTCTTCACCCATTTACTGGATAATCTTCAGCAACTTTTGTTTTAGAATAAACTTGATGTAAGGCTTAGCTGATATTTGCTAATTGATGAAATTTATTTTAGATCCTCATCCTTTAGATTGATGAGATCTCCACACATTTTTGACCCAACGCGACATATCCGCTTTGATACTATAAGGGAGGGAAAGAACTGCCAACAAACTTTCATCGACCACAAGCCAAGTCACGTGACTTGAGGAAAGAACTTGTTTGGCATGCAGAGGATATGTCACGGTTTGTCAAAAAAAGCTATACCGGTTTTGTCGCGTTTTGTAAAAAGAGCGCAACTTTCTGCAGTTCTTTGATGAGGTAAAAACAGGTTTTATGAAAAAAAAGGTTGACTCTAGAATATGCCTCACCTTTCAAGATACTATGGTACTAGTTTTGGCCAAGCATCGAAAGTGGCGTTGCGTTATGTCGGGAAACTGTTAATATTTTCATTAAAAGAAAAATTGTCATGAATAGGCAGGGAATTACAGCCATCTCAGCTTTTAAAATAGCTTGTTGCTGGAGCCCAACATTTAAAGATCCTATGCAATGCGGCTACATGTTAAAACAGTGTAAAATTAGGTAGCAAGATAGAAAATGCACCATGAATTATTCTTTAGGGCATTAAAAATGAATCGAAGTTGTGTTGTGTGCTATCTTTACCTCACTCTCTCACCATATCTAGGAGATTGTGATGGTAAGTACTTCTCTGAAAAAATTGACCTTAGAACTGCCAGCAACAATATCCCAAGTTCTCCAAATAAAGGGTTCCATGTGTTAGGAATGTGAAAGTATTTTCCCTATAAAAAACTTGTTTTATGTCTTTTTCTTTCCCCTCAGTATGATCCTCAGTTTGGTGATGCTTTCTGGAACAGCAGCAAAGAATCATTCACACAGCATCTACTGGGAATCATGTCCAGTTGGGCATTGGTTTGTGATGTCTGGTACCTTCCACCCATGACTAGACTGGTAATAGTCATATATATATGTATGTGTGTAGTGGTGGATGAGAGAGAGAGAGAGACATGTGTGTTCGTAGGGCAGTGTTTGTGTGTATCAGTGAGAGGAAGTGATTGTGTATGCAGTGTTTATGTGGACACGTTGTGTGTGTGTGTGAGTATTGTAAGTAAGTGAAAAGAGATTCACAGAAAAATGTTAAGCAAGATGTACTGTTTGCTGCATTGTATGTTTAGACCTTGTTTTTAGAAATTTGTCATATTAGATATTTAATTCCTCCCCTTTTAAAAAATATATTCATGTTTATGGATCCATACATAGGCTGAGTGTTTCTATTACTTTTACTGGACCCTTATGTTTGGCTGAGTGTTTCAGTTACTTTTACATGACACTTCCGTAAGTTATATGTAGTTAGTCGCATTGGCCTAACTTATAGGAAAAATTGTATTCAGAGATATGGAAGGCTTGTTATCAGATTTACAAAATTTGTATGAAACTTCAATATTTGTAATGACGAGAAGGAGAGAAACAGGTAGACCCTCTATACTGCAGCAAGATGTGCAACCCTCTTAGGCCGGTCCCAGAGTGGCTCTGTAGGTCTGACCTATAGCTCGCCAAGCGCGCGCCGTCTGCGTGTCAACACAGCCGGACTGTGCGTTGCCTTATGTGTCTGAGTGAGCACCCTCTGCGTGTCAGCACAGCCGCACTAGGTTAGAAGTACACTGGCCTACAAATGTAAACAAACAGTTAAGACTAGGTCAACCTCTCGATTCGAAATTTTAATGTAGGATAAAGTGCATTTCTTGGGATTTTGTGGTCAAGTGTTGATGCTAGCATCGATATCTAATAGTAAAGCACCTAATAATACTTACTTCTTGCTGATTTTTATGATCTGTGAAGAATTTCAGTCAAAAATAAACACGAAGCGAGGCTGCGTACAAGACTTGTCAGACATGTTTTACAACACTGTTGAATAGCACGTCTGACGCGTCGTGCAGCTGACAACAGACAGATCACACAGCGACACTGCTCATGCACATGATAATGTATACGTTCGTTTGCTCGGTGCGAGCTAGGCGAGCTACAGGTCAGACGTACTGAGCCACTCTGGGACTGGCCTTATAGTGGAAATGAATGCCTGTGCCCAGATACAATTTTTTAAAAAATACTTTGATATTATCTATGCCTTCTTCCTGCCACTACCCCTATTCCAAGCTCTCACAAGGAAACCATATGCTCTACATTTGAAATGCCCCTTTATGTCTTGTAGCAAATTCAGCTTCCCCTACACTTGCAGCAACAATAGAAATACTTAGGATTGCTCTTTCAAAGTATGCTAAAGTTTTGCCTTTTTGTGAAATGATGAACTTTGTGAAAAATTTCTTTTTCTTTAGGAAAATGAAGATGCAGTTGCATTTGCAAATCGTGTCAAGTCAGAAATTGCTCGACAAGGGGGTTTGGTAGATCTAGATTGGTGAGTGTATTTTTGAGGTTTGTAAAAATAGTTGTTGTTAAAAAAAATTATCCATGTGGATGCTTGATTCTATTGACTGGTTCAATTAGTGGCGCACAGGTCCTCTGCTGCAGTTTCGTGAAAGTATGTATGCTACACGGCATTAGTGCTCCCGTTTCAAAAGAAATTACACACTACACAACTTCTCTGAGAATCTAAATGACTATGTACCCAACACGCTTATTGTTATTTATATGAATTAGAGGGCATTATTCAAGGTAACTTTTGATCTACTTGTCCAACTTTGTTTTCTCCGAAATTCCTACATAGCGAACTTCATACATAATGAAAAGATATCCATGCCGATGTCCCAATCTGTGTGCCAGACTGTATCTTCAAGACTGTCAGAGTTTCATTATCACAGAAATCCGCTCTCCCCCCTCCCCCACTCCCTCTCATTATCTCATGTCTAGTATCTGTACCCCATAAAATTTTCCACCTGTGCTTTGGATACCATATATTTACTCTGACCATGTGACACTCTTTTCTGGTCTTTTTTTGCCTTCGTTCTTCTATCATTTGTATCGTGAAAATGAAATTTTCAACAATTTCTAGCACAATATTTTTTTTTTTTAATGGTCACCAAAGTCACATGACCACATTGACACAAATATAGGTAAAAGTATCTTCTGTACACTTCTGAACATTTTCTGAAAATTTGATTACATTCTTGTTCTTATTTCAAGTGATGATCAGATTTTTGTGATGTACGCTACCAAAGATCATGAATAATAAGATAGTTCACTCCTCTCTTTGAGCCTATTAAAAAAGTGTCCTCAAAATTTGGTGGCGCCCTCTTCAAAAAAGTGCGGACTTTGCGAACAGTTACCCTACTTGTGTGAAAAACAATAAAATGAAACTAACAAACTGTGCTATTCCTATTTTTATTGTGGAGAAACAAAAAAGAGCTTCAAAACAAAGACTGCAGTGCCGTCTGAACCAATGTGCGGACTTCCGCTGACACTTTTTGGGCTGAGTGAACTATCTTGTTATGTACGATCTTTGACGCCACTTTACCTTGCATGTCCTTGGCCATTGGCTCTGGGGGGACGTGGATGTAATGGGTTTTCCCTATATGAGCCATGTGGATGGAAAGTGTTAAATCCTTTTTCTATTACCAAGTTAGTTTTATTTGGTAAGCCAGGTCAATGTTTGCTTAAAAAAATTTTTTTTTTTTTTTTAAAGATTAAAAAAATTATGGTTTTAATTCACAATTGGAAAGAAGGAAAAACAGTGACAAAAAAATATATGTCTGTTAATCATGAGTTCTCAACCACTTAAAGATTAATTAATGTAAATGGGCCCTACCTTTGGTCTTAAAAGTAATTTTAGAGGAGTATGTGAATGCTTTGTTTATTACTATGCTTCTTTGTTTTCAACCCAGACTAAAATTGTCACTTTTTACTTCAGGGATGGTGGATTGAAACGAGCAACTGTAAAGGACTCCATGAAAGAGGTTCCTCAAGAACAATACAGCAAAATTCTCAAAGTGGACTGATCACGATTCATCAGTGTCCATTGAAGTAAATGTCTTCACCAGTACTTTCACATACACCTTGCCTGCTAACTCAACTAGATTCTTATTTGAATCATACGCATTGCTTGCCTTTCAATTTTGTCTTTTACAATACCAGTACTTCTGGTATGCCTGATTTCATTGTAAAGACTAGAACAATATTTTGCCTGGTATACTGTCATTTGGTTTGACTGCGGTCATCAAGTTTGTGTTGGGGTGTTAAGTTTTCTGAAAAGTTGTTGGCTATTGAGTTGTAAATTTATCTTCTGTTGTGGAATTTGGACAAGATGCGACTGAAAGAAAAGGTAGCTAATGGTTTCATGTTGTTAAGAATTTTTTCTTCTAATTTTTTTGTGGTGTACTTGGAATCAATATGAAGATATATATATACTTTAATTTTTGTAGTGAATAGCTGAAATATCATTGGAAATGTGTTTTTAACAGCAATTTGGTTGTCAACGGATTTTTTCTAATTTGTGCAAAATGGCTTTCTGTCCTGTAAGTTTTCCCACTTACTGTTAAAGAAAACGTCTTTCAAAGCTTGATAAAGCAATGGGCACTTCATATTTATTTCAAATCTCGTCTTTGTTGACTTTGTAGACCGGGTTTTCTCCTTTTTGAGGTTTCAAGGCATGACACATTATGTTGCTACAGTTGTGTTGCAACTGTTTTGAGGACATAGTCTTGTGGTGTTAATGTTACAGTCCTGAAGGTTTTTTGTGTAGACAGGTTTCAAAGGGCATTATCATGATGTAGAGTGTAATTATGTCACGGCGTGGTGGAATCAGGCACTCGTCAATTTAGAGTCTTATGGAGTTATTGGTATCATCTTAAAGCCAGTCCATATGCCTTTCTTGTAATTAAAAAAATATCCATTATCTGTGATGCAAGTCAAGGTATTGTAGACTGAAGGAGATGGGGGTCACCTGGTTTCAGAGGTAAAGTTAACGAGAAAATGGCCGCCAAAGTTGAGCTATTTCCTTAGCTTGAGAATCCCTGGAGACTGAAGATTTACACCTTTTATGCCTTTAATCAACATTTTTCAGTAAAATTCACACAGAAATGTGTTCTTTAATGGCCATGAAAGGTGTTGAGCCGAGAAACAAAATTCGACAAATATTCCCAAAACTGGGGAAAATGCCAGTTTCTTCACTTTCATTATTTTGACGAGCCCCTGATTACGCCACGCTGCCACACAATTTTTTTGTGTGTGCTTTGTATACATCATGTGTCTCCGAAACAAAAAGATTATATTATCTCTGATCAATACATGATCATGCTTTGATAGTCATGTATGACCAGGCTAAACTAATAGAGCTGATTTTTCAGAATGAGAGAATGTGAGTTCTGACTTTCCTTCAATTACTTTTGTAATTTTTCATTGGCATGGGGTCTAAATGTAAGGCAACTTATACATTGTCTTGAATTGCAAATAATGAAAAAGGCCTTTTGTCTAGTCCAAAACGCTGGACTTTATTTAGTGTGCTACATTATACTGAAAGGATGACAGGTTATCCGTTTATCAAATATTCAAGACCCTTCCCTTATCTTGGCAAGTTAACCAATGGGAGACAGGCTACTCAACAAATAACTTCAACCAATGGCAGACAGGCTACTCACCTTCAAAGAAAGTCTGCTGACGTTTTTTAAAATTGTAAATGTATGTAATAGCTACTTCATAATGTCTTTAAAATTAAGTTTTTGTTTTTATTTTCTTCCTAGGTGCTAACAGCACGCAGTTTAAAGCATTAATGGTGATGTTTTAGTGAGTACATAGATAGTGCAGTAGGATGTTGAATGTCATAAAAATGGAAAACTGTTTTATATTTCTAAAGCCTTTCAGCATGGTGGATGCTGTTTCTTCCCTTTGATCAAATGTATGTGGTTCAGTGACAAAACGTTCTCTAAAGCTACATGTAGGATTCATTTCAATATTTTAATTTTAACTTAGTTGGCATTGGAAAGCAAATTTGAATTCTGTGTATAAAATAAATGAAGCAACATTCACTTATTTTTGCAGGCAAATCAGTCCACTACAGTTAAGTGTTTGGGGCTCATTTATTGTAATGATCATCCAATCTGTGTGTCATTACTTTGAGCGTGCATGTTTGGCTTAGAGCATTTACATGTCTAGATCTGTCATTGGACTTCCAAATGGTTGTGCAGACTCCCATCATACCACATCCATGCTCCTTTCACAATACAAGTTCCACATCATGCCTTCACGTATTTCATGTGAACTGTCAAATTCACATTTATATCTCTCAAATGGATTGGTGAAAGTTTTTAAATTGTATGACCACCTTTTTCTTCTCATTTTTCTTTCTGCTGAAAATTGAACAGTTTATGAAAAAGAGTCGAAAATGAGACATGTTTTCTCAGAAAATAATCATTAATCACTTCAACAAGAATTACTTGTATAAAAACAAAGCTGTATTGTAAACAGAAAGATGCCCACACCTTTTGCTCATATTGTGTAAAATTTGGGGGGGGGGGGGTAATTATTTAAAAAATATGTTATGTCTCTATGTCTCTTTTAAAGTTTCCATGAATTTTAGTTATGACTTCTCTTACACTGTACAGGATACATGCTGTGTATATGATGGAAGTGAGAATTGGTCTATGTAGCATGATCAAGTGTTTGTTAACTTTTATAATGCTAATGATGTCTTCTGATATCTGGATTCTTTTGTGGCATTGACCTTCTTTGAGACAGTATTGATTAATCTTGCAAACTTTTCTTTTTTGAAGGAAAACAAGTGAAAAATATGATTTCCAACTTTGTCTTGGGATTCAGGTCGAGGACTGGGTGTATGTCTTTTAACAGAATGTTGAACAGTTTCATGGTAGCGTTTTTTCTGTGCCTCTCGGCTTGAAGAAATGAGCTTTCATTATTCTGAGGCAATGAGTTTACTGTCAATGAATTTCTTTTCAATCAAGAACACCCATGAGAGCAATCTGGAACACCCAGGAGAGGTGCATTTGAACAGCTTCCACTTGTGCAATTCTGACTGCCTCTGTTGTACATTTTATTGTCAGTATTTCTGTGTTGTGTATGGTGATTTGTGGTTTGTATTTTTATTTTTATTTTCGTTTTATATTTTGTTGTTTTTTGTCTTGAATGTGTAATTGGTGGGCAGTCTTACATAGTATGCTCCTTCTGATTTTTGCCCCGTGTTAGAATTTTATTATCCTTTTCTGTTCTTGGCCTTTATGTAGCAGACTCCCTATAAGTACACCTTCACATAATGAATTGCTGACTTAATTTTCAGAATTATTTTGTTTTGATATATCTCAGCGTATGGAACCAGTACCTCCACATAAACAGGTGACTGCAGTCAACATGAATACATTTTAAGTAGCACTGAAAGAACAATATTTACTTTTTTGTGTGGACTACCATCGTGCAGGGAAAGTGTCTGTGTGATTGGCTGATTTGACAGATTTCTGACTTTTTTTCCCCCCCAAGTATTACTATCAGTGGTAAACAACAGAACTGGACAGCAGTTTAATCTTTGCTTTAGAATTTGATCAACACAAAAGTAAAAAGTGGTAATTTATTGACCAGTATTAAGCATTTTATTCTTCCTTGGGTACCTGCAATATTTTTTATGTTCATTACGAACATTTCTCTCTTTTATGCATCCCAATAGAAAACATCCATGAGGGACCATGCTTGCGACACTTTTACAAATGCAGACCGTATTGAAACAAATTAATGGCATAGGCATCGCCTTGTCCAAGGAAACAAGAGAAGGTGAAGTCAGAATTCACTCACATGATCCAGGGTACACACGAGTTGAGCATTCTTGTAATATCCAACTCATAGTCTGTTCAGATTCCTGCTGATACTGTTTGATGTTTCTCAAATGTTTACCTGGGCTTTTGGTTTGACATAATTCAGCTGCTTGCAAAAAATAGACATATTTACTGCCAACCCCAGATACATGTATTGACTTTAGGACGTGGAATAGGCTGGTGAAATTGATGACAATGTGGCTTTCAGCAGGGCCTTTCATCTGACTATAGTAATCACCGACAATTACAGTATGAGCTGTGATAAAGAAACGATAAGCAAAATGTTCAAGGCCATTAGTGTGGTTATGTAAGTTCTATCTTTTGCATACATATCTTACCTGAGTTTTTGTGTTTGGAATAATGGCTAACGAATGTCTCTACTTACTCCATTTTGACAGTGCAAAAGTAATTCTTTCGTATGTGTTTCTTTATTGTAGTAAATGTAACAAATATTATATTGCTGAGAACCGTGAGTGACTTCAAAAACTGTAATCAGAGATAGGCTACTTGTAGACACCTGCCCTTTTAAATTTTACTCTCTTCTCCTTTTTAAAAAAAGAATGTCTTTTGTTTGATTATGCTATTCCAGCTGCAGTATTGTGTTTTGTGCTATGCTGCTGTTGCATTTACTGTTTTTATGTGATAAAAAAAAAAAACCTATGTTATACACTCTACAATTTCTGTTTTTGGATACCTCATTTTTTTCCTTTTTTTGTTCACATTACTTAAATCTTTAAGAGTTTGCATGTAATTCATTTATGTCTTTGTTTTATGTTTAATTGCTATTTGAAAGAGGAGCCATGGCACCAGATCAATGTTCAGACTGGGAAATGAATCCCAGATCTTGTTTATGGTACAGAGTGACCATTTTGTACTTAATTGTTTTAGGACAATAGTATTTCACAAATAGTTTCTGTTAACAGTTTCACAAAATTTAGAAACACGACAGAAGATAATAGGGCTGTTATTATTTCTGTTAGATTAAGTACACTTCATGGAAGTCGGAGCAATGATATTTCAGGATTTTCTCGGTATTGAGAGATTTCATTCCTTCCTGCTTACAGGAAATAAAAAAAATCACCAACTTGGTCAAAGGTTATATTACAAGAAATTGAACTTTTTGCCAGTAGTGCTCCAAGGTGAATCAGCCCTGTATAGATGAGTCTCTGTCCATGTGTGGGGTGTTTTAATGCTATAATCAGTTGTAATTTAATGATGAGGCATATGCCTATGTCAGGATTTTCTCTAGAGTTACTATCACTCTGTAGAATATTTTGTTCTGTTGACCATCATGCCTTACTCAAGTTTATAAGATATCATAAGTTATGGAGCAGTAGCTGAATGTTGCCACCCAATAAAATCATATTTAATGGAAGTAGAAAAAGAGCTATGTGAGACCTGTTGGTTCTGTTAATAGCAGCTTGTGCAGAAAGGGATGCCTGCTTTTTGTCTGAATGAATCATGTTTTTTTCTTCAAAATGTGACAATTCTTAACCGTGATTAAACATTCTTATCATGTCTTGACCTTAACTCTGGACTAAAGAATTTTTTTCTTTATCCATGACCCCGTTGTAAAAATGTCTCCTATTACTCCTAAACAATTTTGCTCATTGACTATTTGTGTATTTTGTTTCTTTTTCTTTTGTTTTCAAAAACTTCCAGGAATGTACTGTGTGAATGAATGTTTCACTGTAACCTGATTTGTTTTTGGCTGGTGGTTGTTTCACTAAGTGTGTGTAGTGTAAACGGTTGATAAGCTGGACTAGAAGTTTTGACTTGTTTCAAGAAGTATAGATTACTGAAAGTACATACATTTTTGTCCCCCTCCCAAAAAAAGAAAAAATCTTGTGATATTTTCACAAACTAAGACTGCTAGTACGTGTAATAGTTTTGGGTATGATTTTTCTCCTCCAGTGGGCTCCGACTTCTTTAATTGAAAGGAGAAAAAAGTTATGCTGTTTGAGTTGTCAATGACTTTTACCAAAGGTTGTGGCACTTAACTGCATGTAGCTCCTGGTTCCTCTTGTTCTCTGAGCATGATAGGAAAATTATGTTCTGTTTATTCATACCCTTTTAATCTGATAAAGAGACTTAAAAAGCCAAGTTCAAGCTACCTTCCTGTGTGTCCAATGAATGAATGCAGTCATTGAGTCCACATACTTTTTTCGTGTCTTTAGATGTTTGTCTATGTGTTCATGATATGTAAGATAAATTGTGCTAGTTGCATTTGTCAGTCATATGGTTACACTTGAGTGATTTTTTGTTGTGTTCTTGCTCAAGAGAATGGATGAGTATAAAAATAAAAGTATTGGAAAAGAGTGAATAGAATCAGAATAGAGTACTTATATGTCGCTATGCTATTTTACTGGCTGGAGTAAATTAAAAATAACACTACTTTTAGTTTTTAAATACAATGTTGCCTCTATTTTGTTCTTCTGCATGTTTCCAGTAATGAGTTGTATTCATTAAAAGCAAAATTTCCCCTCACTGTTGCATATCATAGGCTCGTAACAATATTTTAAACTCAATTATCTTTTCACACAGTGTATATTGATATAATATGAGTAAGAAAAGTATGTATTTTTTTTATTCATCAACAATCAATTGTTGAAATATGTTATGAAGCTCCACAACTTGGTGCTGACCTTTTACATAGTGAGCAAACTGCTGCTGTAAGTGAGTGGACATGCTGTCAACTCTAATTTAACAACTTTTTTTTTTTCCTTTTTGTATCAGCATGGTTGGAATTATGACTTTGAAGGCAAAAACACTCATTCTTTTAGAAATGTTGGTGAAGAAAAGTTGTGGAGTTGCTTTTAAAAAAAGAGCAAAAAATGTGAAATATAAATTCATTGCCTCTTCTTGGGGCTTACGTTTGGGTAGTCAATATTTTTAATGAGGGAGTTGTATGGCCATAAATAGAATGTTTCTTCAGATAGATTCATTGATTTGGGGAAGGGAAAGGCAAAGCTGTGGCGGAAATTTTGTTTAAAAATCTGGTCAATTCTATATTATTGATCATTCTTCTGTGTTCTCATATTTTTAAGGTTCTGTGTTCAGTCATACTTGTGGAAAGTTCAGCTTCCCCAACTCACTCAAAGAATGTTCATATTGTGAAAGCTTCAGTTTTATGTACTACTGATTCAGTCTTTTGTTCAGGCTGTTTCAAAGAGACTGACAATTTTCTAAATTATTCAGCATTGTTTTTTCCATTAAGTTGTTGGCAGATATCTAAGTCTATGTACTAACTGATGGGAAGGTTAGCGTGCTGGGTTTTTTTTTAGGCGGTCACACTCTACTTCTAACAACAAAATCTGCAATTAAGTGATTTTTACTTGTTTTTTTTCTCATTTTCTCAACGTATTCCATTCAAGGATTAAAAATATTTAGTTTTGGGAATCGTTATCAGTTACATAATCTCAGAAAAGGCAAATTAGAGTGAAATCAGGCTCTCTAAAGGACCATTTTCAAAAGCTAAAAACTTAAAACCATCCACGCTATCTATGAACTAATTACATATTTGTGATCTGCATATAAATCTTCAGAAAATGACTCTTGAAATTGTAAATATATAAATAATTTTATTACTTTTTTTTAGAAGACTTGCAAATTAGCGAATGACAAAAATAGTCGAAATAGCAAAGTTAAAGTCTTTGAAATATTTGTTCTTTTTAATTACAAAAAACTAGCGTAATTTTATTTGGAATTGTATGGTGCACTTACACTCCAAATTTCATGTTGTAAAGACTTCTCTGTTGACACCAACCCCTTGGCGCTCATATGACCTTATGCAGTTGCTAGCGCTGTAAAACCCTCTACTATAAAAAAATAATAAAAATTCATGTCTTTATCTTGAATGGTGTTTGAGTTTTTAGCTTTTAAAGCCAAAAAATGAACATTTTGAGGAAAGGAGCAAAAACGTCTCAAAATTGCTTTGTAGCATTGTATTGACTCACATTGTTACAAACTTTTTGGAGCTATCTCTTTGAAATAGAGCGTTGGGAGAACTTCCATTCAATTTCGCATATAATTTTCAAGGGAATTTTCCTAAAAACCTAGAAACTTTGTCTGGACCCAAACAGGACTCCAAAAACCCGTGTGTGGCCTTAAATGTTCTTAGGAGCAAATAACCAGCAAGCCCTTTATGTCACCAAAACTGCTCTTTGTATTTACTGGACTATTTGTATTATGCTTGTTTTGTTATATTGTTTTAAACAGGAATTGTCTGTGTGCTTGATAATCAGACACCTCACCACTGTGTGACAGCTTTTCATTGACTTAAATGTTTTCCATTTGTTCTCTATTACATCATTCAGACCAAAGGTCATGTTCCCCCCCAGGGCGGTGCCACTGACTGAAGTGTCTTTAGGCCATTCCCGAAGGGGGGACATTTCTCGTTCATGCACAGTAGAATTGTAAATGGGTTGATTCATCAATGTCACGCTCATGACTGTGCCTGATCTACAACAGGGAACCGCTGCTTTTTCTTTCCTAATCCTTACTATTGTCATTTTTTCCTCTACTTCTTTTGTTTGTCACTCTCTTGTGACCCAATATTTCCGGGGTGCCTTGATAGTCGAAGCAGACTTTGTGCTGTTGAAGCTAGAGAGATGAGCAGAGTAAGTCTGATTCCCTGTAAGGACTTCTCTGTTGACACCCACCCCTTGCCGCTCATATGACCTTATGCAGTTGCGAGCGCCGTAAAACCTCTACTAAAACTAAAAGGTCATGTGATACCACACAGTTTACTGAGGGAGGATTTTTTATTTTTTTGTTTTGCGAGAGGTAAACCTTTTGCCCTCAAAGAGCCTGGAGCTTGCTATGAATTTGATGTTTTTGGGCATTGAGAAAGGGCAGAGTTTACCATGGGGCTGTCATGGTCTAGTGGTATGGTGTTTGCCTCTCATTCAATAGGTCCCTTCGAAAAATTTTCCTTTCTTAAGTTTAATACTTTCACCTCCTTCACTGCTTTCTAAATTCTAGTCAGTTTCTGTCATCTGCTTTCAGCCCCCCCCCCCCCCCCTCTTCCTTCTTACTGCTGTCTTTCAGCCACACTCCTGATCTTAAAGAAGGTAAGATCAAACACCTAGCTGTGAAAAAATCTCTGAGGTCCCATTTGCAAGTTGCGCACATTAAAGATCGCTTGGTGACCAAAAAATTGAGAAAAGCAGGCTTCGGCTGCCACCTGGGCAAAATTCATGACCTTATGCAGTTGTGAGCGCTGTAAAACTCTAACCAAGTGAAAGAGTTGACCATCCCTCTGCAGACACTTGCTGGTCAGTGGTGTCTTTATAGTCTTGCATTTCCACGGGTTAATGTCACTTTGTAAAACTACATGCTACATGACTCTGGGGAGTTTGAGGGTGGTGAGGGGTATGTCGTTTCACTTTTCTTCTTCTGCTGTCTCAGCTCCTTTTGCTGCCTGATAGCAACCACGAGTAGTCACTTACTGCCACTATCTTTACTTGTTTTTGATCTTTCGTTGTGATTTGATTGGTATTGAATAAAAGCTATGTGGCAAACGAATGTTCCAGTAATTCTCTTGCAAGCGTAGTTAGTATGTAAACTTAGTTAGATCTACTCATTGCTAATTTGCATACTCTTTGGTACTATGTATGTGTTGTGAGCAGATTATATTGTATGTTTGGGTTGATTTGATTTTAGTGTTCAGTAAAGTGTGTTGTTATATTATTAATCAGGTCAACATTTTTGAGACAGGAAATTGTTAGAAAAAGCTATGTCCATTTGACAACATAACCAAATTTATTTAGTAAGCGCCCTGTATGTTAACCTTGTTACGGTGCTGTCCACTCAGTCGAACACAACTATATAAAGTTTTGCCTTTTTGGATGTTTTTAATATCATTTTGTATATACTTGACTCATAATGTTATATATATAGTGCATACTGTTTTATGTTAAGTTAATTTAGATGTATCTGTCAAGTATAATTTGAATTGTAGATTTGCTGGTAATGCAAAATTCATTTGAATCGTTCGTCCTTAATTTAAGCAACTGTCTACTTTCATTGCTGTATTCCTGCTGCTGTTGAGGCATTGGTCATTCACTTCTTGACCAAATTTTATCTTTGGTGCCATTTTTTGTCATTATATTTAGTGTAATTTTTGTCCCACAGTAGATTTAGCTTTATGTTATACTTATGTTTGGTGACATTAAACTCCCAACTGTATTCATCTAGTTTGTTTGCTTTCTTCCTTTAATCTCGTGAGAATCAGAACACATTCTGATCATTGAAACAGTTTAAGGAAATCATATTCTTGGTAAGAAGAGACATAATTACAAATAAATAGTGTAGCAAAAACTCATTGAACTTTCCTGGATTTGCCAGTAAGATTAAGACATATTGCACTGATGTGATGAAACTCTACATAAATTATTACTAATTTGTGTAGATAATTCAAAAGCATTTTTTGCACTCCGTTGTATTTTTCTAAATAATTGTAAATAGTAAGGCGAGTAGTTTTTCATTTTTCAGATGTTATTTGACTACACTCATCACCTTGGCTTTGGCACAGGTGTTACCTATTTGTGAAAGCTGGATGTGGCCTGCCTGCCCAGCCCGTCTTAAACACCTTGATTCAGGGTCCGGACTTAAGTGGCCTCTTGGGGGTACCAATTTCAACTACATCATGTACAAAGTTCTCGCCTGGTCCTGTGCTGCATTTACTACCCATTTTCGCCCATATTGCGGTTCTCTGTCTAATTACTAATAGTTTGAGTGCTCTCACAAACCCATCAATGTTTGACTGAATTATAGCCATTTTCACTTAGGTAACATCCTTCGCTGCCTCAAACTGGGTGTGTAAAATTATGAAACTCCTTGCATACTGACCACTATTGCTTTCGCTGGAACTACATTCTGGCAGGAAACGGGAGTAATAAACTATATGTGTCATGACGTGGTGTAATCGGGCACTCGTCAATTTTTGGGCAAAAGGAGTTATTGGTATCATCATGAAACTTGTTTTTTAGTCTTGCTTTGGGTGAAAAAGATACCCATCTGTCCTGAATAGAAGTCGAGATATTTACGACTGAAGGAACCTGCTGTCAGAGGTAAAATTAGAGAGAAAATGGCCGCCAAAGTTTGGTGACTTCCAAAGCTTGAGCGCCCCTTAAATCTGCTACAAATTAACATTTTTGAGCCTTTGATCAATGTTTTTCCGATTTCTGTAAAAATTCACACAGAAATGTGTTTTTTAATGAATGTTTAAAAGGTGTTGAGCAAAAAAAATTGCACAATGTGCAGAAACATGCAGGTTTCTTTGACTTCCTTATTTTGATGAACATCTGATTTCACCATGATGCCGTTCATATTTCCCACATTATCTAAACTTTTGGTATGAGATAGAAATAATTGTACATTTGTACTGTCTTTTATTTGTTTTCTGGTAGATTTTAATGTATGATTTAAACTACCAGTACTGCGTGTGTCTTTTTGAAGAATAAATGCTGTACAAGACACTAAACGTTATTCTTAAGATGAAGCATTTTGTCCCCCCCCCCCCTGTAGACACCACTATTAATATTATGATTCCATGTGATATTCCATGAGGGCTTCATGACATTACAATTCAACATGTCATAAAATTTCTTTGGAGAAAAATAGCAGGGTCTGGGTGAAAATGAAGCTAGAAAACTTCATATCCTCTTCTAATCCACACTTTTTAACTTGGATTTCTCTAACTCACCAAAGTGCGATACAGCTATTTTTCCCCCTGCGTTTTATACCATACAGATTGCCCCCTTTCTACAATTATTGTCTTTTTTTTCGGAGAAGACATAAGAAAATATAGGTACATTCTTACATCCCATTGAGATCGTTTTGGAGAAAAGCCTTGATCTTGCTTGTCCCGGCCAAACCGTACTGAGAAAGGCATACATCCCGGCAAAATAACCAAAATACTCAATGAAAATTTTTCCAACTCAGAAATCGAACTCGGGTCTCCTGCATGTGACAGCAAAGCGCCTAACTTCTACACCTGACACTGGCATGAAAGCATTGAAAGATTGAAGAATTAAGGTTTCTCACAAACATCTGAACTAGCCCTCGATGTTGAATACGTCATGATGTTTAAGTTTTAGTAAGAGTTTTACGGCACTTGCCTTTCAACACAATGAGATCATATACGTGCTGAAGATTAAAGGTGTTACAAGAGAGTAACAAACACAAAAAAGATGGAGAGAAGGTTGATGAAAAATGTTTGATAGGAATGAAGGAGCAAACCACATAAGAGCACCCTCCAACCACCCACTATATCATGCCAACATGACATCATGTATACAATTCCAGCTGGAGACTTTTGGCACCACTTGATTATACAAGTTCTGAAGAGTGTCATAAGTGAAACTGCTTCTTTAGCTGTAGACGGTACAAAAGGTTTCTCCAAATGACATAGAGTCATCTGAATGTACAGAATACAAGTTCTTCAAGACCCAAAAGGGAGTAAAAGTCCACAGAGATAGATCAGTTTTATAGGTTTTACAGCACTTGCTGTAATAGATCATAGTTTATAAGTGCCAAAGGTTGAAAGCACAGTCATACTTCGTTATACTGCCAGCACTGCTTATTGCCAGGTTTTGTCAATGTACAAAAAGGAACTCCTAAATAAACATAGTATTTGCACCTTACATCACTATCCACCAGCTGTCGGAGTTGTATGGTCCTTATTACTCGAATGCAAATTAGCCCTGCTATACTGCCAGAGGTAGCCTACATACTACACACACTCAGTGGCTGCTTGATTATGTCCCAAACCTGTCTGTGCCAGTTCATCAGCTTTTTTCCAGCGTTTTTTCGCCGATTTGCACTGATCATGAAAGTACTGTTATTTTTATGCTGCTGCCAATATTTCAAAAACATAATTTGGAATTAATTTTAAAGTCGCCCGGAAAAACTTCAAAGTGGACTGCACCACCCCAACCTGTCGGCAAAACATCTGGCATTGCCAAATATTAGCCGAATGACCAGAGGGCTGGCCGGCGCCCGTAAGGTTTTTATATTACAGTAGAAACCAGATATAACAGGGATCCATGTTAAATCAGAATCTAAGAAATGTGCAAGGGGCATGGACAAATCCAGTATTTTTATTCGGGACAGACTATGCTCTGCGCGCGGGGCTAGTTCTATTGTTAGGCTTTTTCATGTAACTCTTTGAGGATGTAGCAGATACTTACGTCCAATAAGCAGCACAGCAAAGGCAACACTTTGATACATTTCAAACCTGCTTACCGACTCTTTGTTCAATCCTGGGAAACTAGCCAACTTCCTCCCACTCCCCTTCTCTTCCCCGTTTATCCCATTTGCGAAATAGACCCATAATCTAGGTCATGTGTTGGTTGTATAAGTATAATGAGATAAAGAAATCATTACCACATAATTTTTTTAAAAATCCAGTACCATATTGAACGTGTCTCTGTATCCCTGAAATAATAAATTAGATTGATGAGTCCCTGTTATTGCCAATAAAATTTACTACAGGTAAAGAGAAAGAAAAAACGGGGATTTTAAAAAATCCTGTTATTACCGGTCCTGTTATAAATGGTTTCAACTGTATAAGGACTCTTCTCAAGTCTACAGAAAAGGCCTGAGTAGCCTGAGACAGTCCGAGGACTGAGGAGTGTTGGGTACAATAAAGTGTCCGTCAACAGGCTCCTTGACACATGGCCTAGCGTCTGATCCAGCAGAAATTTTCTATTTGAATTTACATAATTATTTATAATTGAAATACATTTCAGCTGTAGCTGTAAATGTAATCAACTACATGTAGGCTACTTATTTTTACCCTGGGCATGGCAATCGCACAAGACAGATCTAACTAAATAAATCAAGACTGGCCACAGTTTGCCTCTAGTCTCTACCAGTCTACCACTAGCCAAGATGACAATTGGTGCTAACCCACCATCCCGCTAACTTCATGCTTGTCCCATAGTAGGCAGTACAATGAGGTTTGACTGTACCCCATATTGCTAGAGAGTAACATAACAAAAGAGAGATAAGGGCACAGATATTTGATAGGAAAGGAGCAAACCACACCAGAACACCTGCCAACCATCAACCCAAAGAGAGAGTGATACATGATATAAAAAAAATTCAGCAAGGAGGAGACAGAAAACTTCTACATATTAGCTTAAATAAGACTACATTTACTTCAAAACAGAAGACAACAATCTAGAGATTCATTGTAATGTTGGTTCTTTATTTTCTTTGAAATGCAGCATAGTATCACATACTTACAAAAACTCAAGATACAAACCTGTACCGAAAACAGACCACTAAAACTGGGAATATTACAATGAAAATCAACAGGTTAGACAAGACAGCACACTACTAAACAGACATCTTTACTAATGGCAAACCTATAGCATGACAAAGAGAAACTCTGGCTACAAACAACCATAAATTGAAGAACACTGGGAACTTCACAGTCCAAATACATCTTGACACACAAGTGGCTCTTCCATATCTTCAAGTGAGAACCATAGCGAAACCAACAATGGAACCTGTATTTGGTGCCCCCAAAAATATAGACTGATCAGATGATTTCAAATGGAAACATTAAATATGATAGGAAAGGTGCATGACAGAACAAAATATCAAATGTAATAGAAAACGTCCATTTCTTAAATAACCATGATTAATCTTACATTCTGCTGCAACTACCTCACATTTTCATCCAAACTCAAACAATCTTCTTTCATTTATTTCCATCCTCACAACTCATACTGGCTTGGGTGACCAAAGAACATTTTCCATTCCCTCAGCAACATCATTCTTGGATTAAAAATGTAAGACACTACATACAGTACAGGGTATCAGAACCATCTTAAAAGTCACTACCATTTGTGATAGTAAATTAACAGCAGAAAATAATGAGTTATTGTGGATATATTGACCCAGAAACAACAATCAGAAACTAAATGATATTGGCCAGAACCGAGTGTTAATTTTTTCAGAACTTTAGGCGGTGACTTCCGTATGAGAATCTGAAAGCTCACATCTTGTCTCTTTAGGAGCAGAGGAAAATGATATATATCTAACGTTAGCATAATGCTGAAACTTATTACAAAGATCCAAATTCATTAAAGCATTAAACACAAATCTTTTATGTAATGAAATGAAATTTGAACCCCTAGCAAATGGCATCAATAGAATAGGAAATGAGCTCTGATGAAATCAGAGAGAAAAAGAAAAAAAAGGAGCCAGGAACATTTTATCAGATCCACCAATCAAATATTCCGCAACCTAACATCACAAAATATTCCCTGCATGCATCTGCCCCGGCACGACAGTATTTTTCTTCACCACTTATCTGCTGGTACTCACTCCCTGTATGGGCGGGAAGATACCCATTTAACCAGCAGCAGGGAAACGTTTAGCCGGGGTGACAATAATTGAAAGCATGCTGGAAAAGTGCTTCGATAAAAAGCCACCAAATAAATCTATATTGCATATAGACTTGCACCAATTATTTATTTGCCAGAGGTCGACCTCTGCAATTTTATAATTTATTTGCCGGGGGTCACCCTGTGAGTCAGTATCTAGGAATTTAAATTTCTCTTCCTTCTGTGTCTGGTACTTTCCATTAAACATAACCAGTTGTTTACTTTATTTGAAGTGTACAGAGCTGCCACACTTTAGGCAAAATCCAAATGCAGGACATTTGCTGCAGGGTCTCTCAACAAATCTAAGGCAGTAAATACAAATGCCTCATAAAGCAAGTAAAATGAACTACAGGGTAAACATATTGATGGCAAGTTATACATAGTAGAATGATCCCCACTACTCATGTGAGATGTACAGCATCAATAAATATGTTCCTGCCAGATCACAATAAGAGAATGTTGCTATATTTATAACCCTCCCCTCCAAAAAAAACCCCTGAATCTATTCATCAATACAACCATCAGGAGTGATACACCATCAAACCCTTTTGATAAAAAGTTCGAATTGAAGTTTCAGTTTCAACTTTCAACCCACACATCTCTCAAGGCTACATTGTTGACGCACTACATAGCCTTTATGAGTGATGCTGAATGACTTTTCTCTTTTGCCGTAACTCTTTCCATCAAACCGCCATGGAAACATAAAATAATCAGTTCTTGTCTTCCTTCTTCTCGTCACCAGTAGATTCCGAGCTTCCAGAGCTCTCACTGCTACCACCAGAGCTGCCTTCACGGTCAGCAGCCATCTGAGGGAAAACAGTGCATAGGATAAGTCATCTGTGTATTTTCTCAAGGATACAATAAAAATTATTCTGAGTAATCTGTAATCTTACGTCAAAACTGCCTTTGAAAACACTGGTAGTCTCTGCCAGAGAACTTGGCCATCAGGAGTCTTAAAAAATGCAGGTTGTTACAAGGACAGGTTTTTAAGATGGACTTCATGAGACACCACGTAGCTCCTACTGCCTATTTTACTGTATACCACCCTAGTTTATTCTATGAAAAAATAGGGTCCCTGGAGGATGATGATTCATTGTTTTTATTCTACAAAAGAAGAATAGACATTTTCCTGCCTTGAAGAGGGTACAATTCATTTCATTATTTAACACAATAAAGATAGACCATCAAAACCTGTAGGAAGGCAGACCACGTTTTTATATTGCAAGTTCTGAAACAGATCAAAGCACAAAAAATCTTTTGTTCACACAGAACAAGACATACACAGAGAAAGAAAAACACTTGTCTAGGGTTGTAAAACCAAACATAGACCTGCATGTGAGCCTCAACCAGATTGTCTGAAAATTTTGCGCGCACCCCCCCCCCCCCCCCCCCAATAAGAGCTTAAATTTTGTGGGTGTCATAAAAGGAAGGACGTTTCCCAGTAGCGAGCGACCACCCCAACAAACACAATAAAGAAGAGACCTAACCCTAACCCTAGGCCTACCCCAAAAAAGAACCTGCAACGGGCCTCATGTAAAAAGGCCAGCACAAGTCCAAAATGAAACAAAAAACAAAAAACCCCACTCCAAAACAAAGAGCATGCATAATATGGCCTACATCTACATTGCTATTATTATTATAATAGGGTTTGATACAATAACACAATAGAATTGGAGTATGAATCCTCCATACCATATATAGATCTAGATCTAGTAATCTAAATAAATCTAGATCTAGATCTTGTAGAACAAGTGAATAGGAATAGGCCTTGAACTAGAAATCCGCATCCAATTCCGAAAAGAGGGACTCAGCTGAGTATAGATTCTAAATAATTCACGCACCTGATGAAATGCTTTTTACCAACATTAATATTACAGCACAACCTATGACTACGATAGGGTTTGACACAATAGAATTGGAATATGAATCCTCCATTGAGGTCTATAATGATCTATATAAATCTAGATCTAGATCTAGATTCTATTAGAACAAGTCAAGTGAGTGAATGAATCCACACGATCTCAACAATTGAATTTGTCAACAAACGAAATTCAAAATGGCCGCTCGAGCACGAAACTGAAAGTAGATAATTTAGGTCCTCGTCCTTTTTCGTATTCGCATTTCTACTAGGGTTCCGACAATTATGACGGAAACGCCGACGTCGGCAGCCGGCGGAGCGCGCGTCGGTGGTCGGCACGAAAACGAAAAGTGCCGACAAAGCCGACGGGAGAAAAAGGGGGCGCTGGCAGTCGGCCAGGCCTCGCACTTCGCACATAGACTAATACAGGTGGGCCTAGCGATAGCATCGGCCGGTTCGCGGGTCGGATTTCAGGCGATTGTCGGCAAACATGCAGGTCTACAAACATAGAGAAACTGTACTGATACAGCCAGTGTTGGGTAGGAAGACATGCAAAACAATATAATATCAGAAAAAATATGCATACGGACCCCTGCACACACATTTCATGACATCATTTCTCCCTAAATGTTAGCTTGTAGAAAAACTTCTCCAATAAAGACGCTAAATTTATTTTTAATTAATAATTTTTTTAATGGGACAAACTAGGAAAAGGAAAAAATTTGAGTGCTGAGCAATTTTTTTCTCTGAAATACAGGCGAGAAATTTCAAAGAACAAAGAACTTTTTCATTGATCATTAAAGGAAGAGAAAAATAAGGCACTGTTCTTTTCTCCTAACAGAACAGACTAAGCCACTAATTACAGAATTTGAAAGTTGCAATAAACAATTAGGAATCCTTAATCAGGTGAAGAAAGAAGTAACTCAGAATATCAACAACAACAACATTTCTCACCTTCTTGTAAGCCATTTCAAACAATTTGAGTGAAGCCTGTTGGAGGTCTGAGGTTTCTTGCTTGATTTCCTCTGGAGTTTTGCTATCTTTGTTGGCAATGATGTCTTTCACGGTAGCAATTTTCTCCTTCAGCTTGTCACACTGAGAGCACGAAACAAAACAAACATCTCACCATTATCCAGCAACAGCAATTTAAGAAGAAATAACAAAAAAGAAAGAGAAAGAAAATAACTTAAAACATTAAGCACAAGTTGGAGGTAAAACACACACCTCCCCCACCATCAATGATTTGTACTCCAAGAACTTGAAAGGTGCATCAAATAAACTTGCCTTAACAAACCCCACAAATCTAAAATAAAACCACCAAATTATTATGTTTTGAAAATCAAGCCAGAAAATAATTTGTTTGTTCATATGAGCAAAAAGAAGCATATCTACACAATAACAATCATTTGGTGCTAAGCAAAAGTATAGACAGGAAGAAGAGGGACCTACTAATGGCGTTTCTCCCCCCCCCCCCCCACCACCACCACCATATACAGACTTCAACATAAGTTAAGGACCACCTTGACAGACAGCTCTGATTTTTTAAAATCCGAAAGAAAAAAGACAAGAAGGAATGTTTCAAACTTTTTTGCTCTGAAAGTGTTAATGGAGTAACAATGCATGCTGCAAAGCTTCTTGAAAGGGCAAAACCACAAGCAGCACGGAAATCTTCGAGGAATTTTGGCCAAAGTGGTCATTAACTTATGTTGAAGTCTGTAAATCAAACAAAAACAAAACGACTGGGGAAAAAACAACCAACCAAAAAAACAAACCCAACAACAAACAACAGCACATTATCCTTTCATGACCGTCTTATTACCTCGTCTTGTGGAAGCTGTTCTTTGAATTCTTCCATCTTAGCCTCTGTATCATGAATAATACTATCTGCCTGGTTCAGCACTTCAATCAGTTCCTGAGAGATAAAGATAACTTTGTCAGACTGGTATTTTAAAAAACTACAGTTTAGAAAAAGGAGGTTCATATTAAATTGAAGTAAATGACAATGTGTTATACCAAATGCATCTCTTCAAAGGCAAGAACAAACTATTAAATACATCAATGTCTTCAAGAACGAAAACAGGTGATACAAAAGAATAAAATGGAGTTTGAAGTGGAGAAAATGCCAACATTCTGCATACTTGACAATATTTATTACCGGGTATTCAATAAAGAGAATACAGACACAAGGAAGACAACAGCTTCACCCATGTGTTACTGGTAAATACAGTAGAACACGACTACAGCAGGACTTTACCTGAATCCCTTTTTTTCTCTCTCTATAAGCTAAATTTCCTGTGCTCGGGTTTAGAGGGGCAAGGAAAGGCCCGAACTCGGATACAGCGGGAGAGATCGAGCGAGCTCTAGCTGGGGTTAAGGGGGTTGGAGGGGGGGGGGGGGGGCCTGTAGGTGGGCTCCGAACAGGCAGTCAGCTGTGCGGCGTTGTGAATGAGTGAGGTGGGGCAGGTGGCAGAGAGAGATGGTGCGAAGAGACGCATTACGTGAGCCACACCAAAAGTGATGTATCCTAGCTTAGAGTTCGAGACTCAAGAAGAGGAGAACGTGCAGTGTGTGATTCCTCATTCATTGAAATGCAATCATTGATGCTCATACGCATACGGACGCATCCACTTCACCAGTTCTACAGTTGTCCTTCTGGTACGATAGACAGCACAAGGAACGAAACCGAGAAAAAGATGGCTTCCAACAAGGACAAAAGGAAATGTTTCTCACTCAAATTAAAAGCCGAGATAATCAACAAAGTTGACAAGAAAAGGAAGGCTAATCAAAAGGGCAAATTTTACTGACACGAAAGGGAGGTATTCATGTGGATTCAAAAAATATTTTTTCAGTAATTTCCCCTTTCCTTTCCTATAGCGGGAACTCGCTTACAGCAGGATTTTTCTTCTGGAACAAAATGTCCTGCTATAGCTGTGTTCTACTGTACTGAATGTGCTCGTTTTTCTTTTTGTATATTGCACAGGACTATATAAAATTCTCATCATACTTAATATTTGACTGATGTGTACCCTGTCGGTGCAAGTAATCTATCTACGGATTCCACTGTGTTTGACACACTTTTTTGACAAAAAATAGTCATTTGATAGAACACTGGTCAATGTGCAGGGGGTAAATCCCAACAATCACTCTTCCTCCGACTTCCTGCAACTCTGGCCATTGAGCTAATCAGTACTTTTATTGCATACAACCAAACTTAACCAATACAACTAACCTCTGCTGAACAAATCAATATATCCAAAAAGCAAGGTTCACTTCTGTGTTACCCAGCAGTGTGAAATAGTGACCATCACTTTTCATTAACACTTTTCACAGCATTGTCAAACAGCACACGATATATTTTCAAAGAAAGCTTAATTACTTACTTTCTTCTTCTTGTCTTCCTCAGCATGGATCTCTGCATTTTTCACCATGTTTTCAATCTCATCTTTAGAGAGGCCACCAGAGGACTGAATGACGACTGAAATTCAAAATCGATAGAACATGAAAATATTAATTTTTTTCCTGGGTCAACATGATTGAGAAATGAGTCAAAATTGCTAAAGGTAGGATACTTTTATCGGTTAAAAGGAAAAAAAAATTAAATTACAAATCTGACACATCAAGTGGAAATGAATACTGTAAAATCTCTAAAGGGACATTTGAGTCCAATATTTTCTCCCCATTTCAATCTAAAGGGAAATCTTTAGACTAAGTGGCATATTAAAACGATTAACAGTGAGTGGCTTTGATATATCTAAAATTTAAGTTGAAATTGTAGATGAGTTGTCTATTGTGCACAATACATGAAAAGCATACCACTTAAAACAATTTTTTTTTTCGGCAGTAAATGTTACACCTGGTAAGTAGTCAAGTCAAATAAGCTTACAAGGTAGAAAACATTAACTTTTTCATATTAAATGTGTCACAATACTGGAAAACAACAACAGACAAACAACTGCACAAGATGAACAAATCAACTAAGAACTGGACAAAGAACCATAAAGATTAGACTTACTTTGTTGTTCCTTTCCTGTGCCCTTGTCTCTTGCCGACACATTAACAATACCGTTGGCATCAATGTCAAAAGTGACCTCAATCTGTGGAACTCCACGGGGTGCTGGAGGGATTCCAACCTGGAAAATTCGGTAAGCACATGAAATGAAATTTTCATCTGTCATTGAGTCACAAATGTAAAAATTGGTAAATTTTTGGGTGAAATTATAGACTACTAACCAACAACATTACAAGACCTAAATAAACCCCATTTACAACTTCCTAAAAAGATGAGAGAGTATTAGCATGGAATAAAGAAAATTACTCACCAAAGTAAACTGGCCCAAAAGTTTATTGTCCATGGCCATTTCTCTCTCACCCTGGTGAACTTTGATTTCAACTTGAGTCTGGCCATCTGCAGCTGTAGAGAAAACCTGTGCACAGGCGATAAAAAGACGCAGTGAGTACAGGTGGAACACAGTAACTAAAGTGAGAACATTTACTGACCATGAATACTTTAGTCTTATTCCCATTTAGTCTATCATTCATGGATGACTAAAAAATTTACTCACTATGCTTCAGAGATGCCACAAACTGAATTTCAGTTTAAAATTACCCAACGAGAAAAATTAATAATCTATCTCAATCTGAAAATGATAATAAAGTGATGGAAAAAGCGAAACTACATTTGAAAGTGAATAAAAGTTCTTCAAATCCCATACAATACCTTTCCAGTGAATCTTAAGTTTTGGAATATTGGTGAAACTCCAAGGACTGACGGATATTAATTTTTTATGCTTAAGACATTATTTCCCTGGACCACCCGGTGCCAAATGTCACTGCATCACTAGCTCATGCCCACAAACTTTTTTAATGTCAAAAAAAATTGGCAGGTATTTATATGAAAAGGAAAAAAAAACCTTAAAAAGGAAATGAACCTTCCCATGACAACATATAAGTACCAAACAAAAGAAAGAAATAAAACATTTAAAAAATTAACACAGCCTTCATTTGAAGGTCAAACCAAAGCCAAATGACAAGTAATGTTCACAATTACACAAAGAAACATCTTCTGTAAGTAAGTACATAATGAGTTCATCTTCAAAACCCATAGTATGAACAAATTCAAATAAAATGTCAACTAATGAGTGATGAAGCAATACAGTCTGCATCTGACCTACCTGACTTTTCTTTGTGGGGATGGTGGTGTTTCGGTTGATGAGCTTGGTAAACACTCCTCCCAAAGTCTCAATTCCAAGAGACAAGGGCGTGACATCCAACAACAGGACATCTGTGACATCTCCAGCCAACACACCACCCTGTAGGACAGAAACGCAGTTGTTAGCACAAAAAAAGTCAGCAAACCAAATGCAGGACTGCAACTCTCTGATACATGAAGGAGACAAGAGTTCACATTTTCCTATTGAGAATCCCAAACCCCACTCAATCGTAACAAATTTTTACATGTCCGAATGATATTCATCAAGCACTGGAAACTTCCCAGTGTCAAGGAAAGCACTGAAAGTATGAATCCAATTTTTATCTGGGTAAAACATGGAATCAATTTCAGTGAGAGCAAAAATATAGTCTCAACAAAAAGTGTTCACTAACTTGCATTTAGCAGTTAAACATTTCCTAGGATACATAGAATAATACTGACAATATTAATAATGGATTGCATTTATTTAGCGCATATCCACTTATGCAATGCTCTATGCGCTTAACATGACACATATTATGGATTTACAAATCAATTTTAAAGGTACATAGTGTTACATACTCATGAAAACACATATTCACTCACGCACGCACCACACACACATACATATACACATACGCACATACAAACTCACAACGATCTACAGCTTGGATGCATTCTGTCTAATCGAAATATGATGAAAAAAGAAATGATTTTAGTTTCTTCTTAAAAATTTCTAGATTTTCTGCTTCTCTGATAGTTTTTGGAAGCCTATTCCAAACAAATGGGGCAAAATATGAAAAAGAGCGTTGGCCATATGATTTGTAATTTATTTTAGGCTTAACAAGGGTTGTTTTGTCACTTGATGATCTGAGCATTCTAGGAGGCACATATGGTGTTAAAAGCTGTTTTAGATAGTCCGGTGATAAATCATTTAAGCACTTGTAGCAAGTTAAACAGATTTTATATATAATACACTCTTTCACTGGGAGCCAGTGTAATGCTTTTAAAATAGAAGTCACATGATCATGCTTTAGTTTTTTAGTAATTATTTTGGCAGCAATATTTTGTACTCTTTGTAGTTGTTTTAACTGTTCATCAGGTACACCAGCCAGTAGAACACAAAAAAATAGAAGATTGACTACAAACTGTTCCATGACAAGCTGTTTTCCTTGCCATACTTTAAGGATTCCTCGCACATCCTTATAAAAATTTGCTCAATGTCAACATCATCATCATGGCCTCTACAAACACTTTTCCACCTTTCCCTGTACTGATGTTATTCCATGTCATCCCACTTTTCTATACATAAATTTCTGTAACTCCTCTCCAGGTTCAACATGGTCTCCCTCTTGATCTTTTACCCTGTGGGTTCTAATTCAACACTCTCCTTGTTATGCAGCTACCTGACTTCCTGAGAGTATGTCCAATCCATCGCCACTGCCTTCTTCCCACCTCATCTCTGACTGGGCTGTCTTGTTCCTCATTGGTAACCCAGTCTGTCCATCTGATCTTCAGTAACTTAAGACTCTTGTTCAAGTAAATCTGGATCCTCTTTATGCAAGTCTGAGATGCGTTCCATGTCTCACATCCATACAACAAGTAAAACCTCTACTAAAACTAAACTAAAATACAACAAGACTTCAATGTCAACACAGAATTCTCTAAAAATGACAATGAAACATACCTGAATGGCTGCTCCAATTGCAACTGCTTCATCAGGATTTACAGACTTGCTAGGCTGACGACCAAACAGATCTTGGACTGTAGACTGAACCTGTGCATTCAAGTAAATAAAAAGACTATGATTTCCTAGAACACACACTAACAAAATAATCAAAAAATCAACTTGACATCCTAAAAGATTGATTCCAGTCTCAGGATAGAAATCTAAGCCAATCCCCTCTTTTAAGAAAAAAACCCCCCTAAAACAGTAGGATAACAAACATGGACATGCACCTTTCTATTTAAGTTCATGCTGCCATCACATTTCCAAAAATAAATAGGGACGTATTTCTAAAATCCACATTTCTGTGCAATAAAAACAACACAACAAAATCAAGTGGGGAAAAACATACGAAAAACAGACCAAACACAGAAGTTCTTAATCAGCATTTGCCAAAAGATGGTATGTGTATGAAAAATTTCAGAATCTAACCACTACTCATGGGAAAACCTGTTTTCTACAAAAAATATGGTACATTTATGTAATTATACATTGGTCAAGCTGCATGAGAAGTATTGACAGGTGAAAGCATTTGAAACACAGCATTTTTTAACTCACCCTGAGCATCGAATAAATTGGTCACATATAGAATGTTGTTAATCCTAAACCATAGAGCAAAGTGCAATCAAACTTTGAAAATAGTATACACCACTACAGTGCTGTGTGTCTGTTTACAGGTGCTTTGTATATTTATCCATTTGTCTTTGTTGTTATGAACCAATTATCCACTATTGTAATAACTTAAGCCAGAACCAGCACAACACCAAGACCATTCCATATTCAGCGTTGCTAGTTACTAAACCTGTAAGAACAATCATGAGTGTGCTCAGTGAAGGGTGTCGCCATTTTGCAGGAGCAATACTGATGACGAAAAATTAACATCATAGCACAATGGTTCGATCATCCCCAATGCGACCTCATGACTTCGCAAGTGACAGTTTCATGCCAAGAACATGAGGAGGCTGGACCCCAGGACAAACAAACTGTTGAGATTACATTGAAATCACGACCGAGTGCTCGGTCAATACTTGCAAGAGAAAAGAATGTACCACGCAAAATTATGGAACCTGTAGTATTCAAGAAGTGATCCTTTTTATATCCATTTTCAGAAGGAATAGGCAAGAATTTCCATGAGGGCTACTTTATGTAGATTTAAAAGTATTAAAACCACAAATTCTTTTATATGGGACTTGCTACAATAATAACCACATGTTCATGTGCACTGAACAAGCAATTACCTTAGGCATACGTGTCATGCCACCAACAAGGATGACTTCACCAATTTCAGTTTTCTTGACCTCAGCATCCTGTAGAGCTTTCTGACATGGTCCCACAGTGCGCTTGATCAAAGTATCAACTATAGACTCGAACTTAGATCTGGACAGTTTGAGGTTCATGTGTTTAGGACCAGATGCATCCATTGTGAGGTAGGGGAGGTTGATGTCAGTCTGGAAAGGGAATTCAAAGACCATTAATTAAAAATAAAACAAATACTGAAAATCATGGACAAGTACGATAACTGACAGTACTACTCCATAATGCCAAAAAATGCACCCAACCACTCGTCTCAAATATAAATCTGACCAGCCAAACTTCTAAAGAACCAACATTGAGAAAAATGGACCGACATAAACCGGGTATCTAAAATAAATGAGAAATAGGAAAAAAAATAATTCTGAAATAGGTTGTGCTCAGTAAAAAGTGTCACCACTTTACCTTTGGCAATACTGATGACGAAAAATTAACATCATCGCACAAGGATACCTTTTAAGTTTACTGACAACAACTAGTACCTGCATTGAGGACGAAAGTTCAATCTTTGCTTTTTCCGCAGCTTCCCTTAACCTCTGCATTGCCATCGAGTCCTTGGTAATGTCAATTCCTTGCTGAAAAAGAAAGAAAACCAGTATATGAATCAGATGCTCCTTAAATCCATTGAACCTTCATTGAATACTTCCTGTCATCATTTGCGTCACACAGTTCCACACATCGCATTCTTGTAACAACCTCGCCCTGTCCTGTCACTGATGTTATGCAGAGCTAGTGCCATAGGAACATTTCCAGCCTGTCTGCTTACACAAATGTTCAGTTTCAGTCCTCACAATTTACCAAGTCAATTTCTTATGTACTTTTGAGAATGGCTTAAAGGGAAAGAGTTTTAAAGTCATGAAATTTACATATTCAACTACTTTGACAAATTCTCAAAACACACAAAGCCTCATTAATAGACAATCAAAACACTCACATCTTTCCTGAATTCTGCACTCAAGAAATTGACAAGGGTATTGTCAAAGTCTTCTCCACCAAGGAATGTGTCACCATTAGTTGACTTCACTTCAAAAACACCTTTTTGGATTTCCAGAATGGAGATATCAAAGGTTCCTCCACCCAAATCGTACACAGCAATTCTGGAGAAGATAGCAAAAACAAAAAGGTTACCACATCCTATTGCTCCTTCACTCAAAAAGACAAGTTGACAATCTACTTTGCCTCACAAGAATCAACAGGATATGCAGTGAATTTGTATTATCAAGTGCAAAGTGAAAAGAAAATAAAAGTTTATCAATCCTGATAGATGCCCAGAATCCCGACATGGGAAGTAAGTTTAATAACTCTCTAAAAATATCACAAAATATTTTATCTCATTAAACATTTATGATCGGGGGGAGGGATATGCAAATATGTTAGAAAAAGTATACTGGTCCCAACAAGCCATTTTCCAGTGCAGATTTGGGCAAGTCCTTTATTTTTCCGAATATAGTTGTGACTACCAGGTTTAAATTTGTTTACCCATCTATTTCATTAAATTTAAAGAATAAAATCCAATGACAAAAAATAGTGGTAAAACTTTTTGTTTATTTACGCATTTGTGTCTCTGTTGTTTTGTTATGAACCAATTATCCACTATTGTAATAACTTAAGCCAACACAACACCCAAAAGACCATTCCATATTCAGCTTTGCCAGTTACTAAACCTGTAAGAGCAATCATAAGTGTGCTCAGTGAAGGGTGTCACCATTTTGCAAGAGCAATACTGATGACGAAAAATTAACATCATAGCACATGTGTACCTTTCAGACTTTTTTTTCGATTTGTATGTGTTTCAAGTTCCATTTCATCCTTAAAAATTCACATACACACTATTTTTTGATGATTTTGACCATCCAAAGACTCAAAAAGACAGAAGAGAGACTCAGACTTTTGTTGTATAGCCTCATTATTTTGTCATATATAATCAGACTTCAGTGGAAACCAGATATATCAGATCCCTGTTAAATCAGAAATGCAAGGGAAGTAGGCATTTGTGAACTAATCCAGCTGCATTTATTCTTGGGTAGTTTCCCTTGCCACAAGTACCCACGAATAGGGGTTTTGGCCATGTGGCAGGCCTGCGCATGACACATTAGGCGTGCGTGTAGCTTGGCTTAGGGCTAGACCGAAGTTTGCAGCACACCACAGCCCTTTCTCGCTTCACCTACAGTGGCGTAAGCTTGCGTAGGTTTGCTCTATCACTGCGTTACTCTCTCTTTCTTACTTTTTACACATTGTTAACAAGCCTTTGTCCCTGCTATAACCGATTGCGCCCCGATGAGGCCCTGATATTGCCGATAACTTTTAATAGAGACAAAGAGTAGGAAAAAAGAGGGATTTTTTAAATGACCGGTTTTACCGGATCCCTGTTATTACCGGGCCTGTTATATATATGGTTTCCACTGTACCTAGTCTTGAGACCTGAGAGAAATGCTTACCACAGCAGTGTTGGGCATGTGTTTGGCAACCCCTGGCAACCAAAGTAGTTAACCAATAGCCACGACCCCTGGTGCTTATAGTAAGTAAATGGTTTAGCACACGGTTATGGTGAATGTTTTCTGCAACCTAGTGTCTGTCCCCATAGGATTATGCGATTGTGCGGCCGCGTTTTTTCCGCGTAATTCTGCAACATTCGCATAATTTTGGATTATCCGCGTTTTTCACGTTTTTTTCCCACAAAACAATTAATTAACGCCTCGCCATGTGACTAAAGGCACGCAATCACTGTAATAACTCTCATTTAAGTGAAAAGCTGGTTATTTCCCTTGTTACAAGATCTTGGTTAAATGGGTTGTGATTTTGTTTCTTGAGCATGTTTTATTTTTCAATCCATCAAAAGTTGTTGTTCTCAAGTCTACTGATGTTTCATATTTGACAGGTGTCCCTGGTTTTAGTAATGCGCCAGCATCAGAGGTCCAGAGGTTATTTTTAAAATATTTTTAAAAACATTTTTCTTTCCTCAGTAGATCTAGATCTAGATCTACAGCTGAAAGTTACAGAGATTATTATTTTTGGTAGGTTTTTTTTTTTTTTTTACTGATGTGTATTGTTTTCTTTTCCAAATACACAACAAATTACTGATACTGATATGTTCTGTTTTCAATTTTTCTGTACATAAAACATGAAAATCACGAAACTTCGTGTTGAAAAAGTGCAGAACATGTCGCGAATGGTGTTACGGTAACTTGCATAATTTTTGCATAATTTTGCTTTTTGTGTGCATAATTTGGTCTTCTAAATTTGTATAATTCTACGGGGACAGTAGTGTACATAAAGCATTGACCTTCACAAAACATGTATCAACATACACTTTGTCTTCAGTCTTGTCCATTCCATAAGCCAAAGCTGCTGCAGTTGGCTCGTTGATAACACGCAGGACATTTAGCCCAGAAATTTGACCAGCATCTTTTGTAGCCTGAAAGTGCAAAAGATAACTTGAACTAAACTAAATATGCTAAACCAGATCAAGGACAACCTCTTTTAAAGCAACATTTGCAAGATTTGAGCACATGGTATTAGGATTATTAAGTGCTTTAAAAGTTATTTTTTCCTGCATTTAAAATGTTTTGAAGATCTGTAGACCATATTAAAATTACAAAGTGCCACTAATCATGAACAACAGCGATAATGGAAACAAGGCATCACCTTATATTGCAACAACAAACTGCAAAATGTCTATACAATATTTATATTATTACCAAGTAAAGGCCTCTATTAAAATATTCATGTATCACATCTTTCCCTTATTTCTGAATCACCTTAAAATGTAACTTTGAAAGTAACATTTCGAATAGTTTATGAAAAACTAATAAGACAACTGTCTACTGATGCACTGGAATCAATCTAACAATCAGTTTGAATTACCTGTCTTTGAGAATCATTGAAATAAGCAGGCACAGTCACAACAGCATTCTTCACTTTGGTCCCCAAGTAACTTTCTGCAATTCAAAAAAAGTGACAGTAATGAGTAATTTCAAAGAGAAATTATTAAAAGAATGAATACACTATTTCTGACAAAACCCATTTGAATAAAAGACCTTGAAGCCTAATGAGGAATTAACTCATCTAGCTGACCCAGCTGATCCCTCAGCAGCAAACACAGCAAGCCGGGATGGTACTTAATGTACTAGCAGTCTGATTTTGAGCTACACTAATACAGGTTATGTGGGAAAATGACACTCTAAGCCAATCCTTGAAAGTTCCCCTTTCGTTTTCGACACATATTTTTCAAGCTCATGCAAGCAATACAACAGATTAAGAAACTCTAACAAAATTTTTTTTACAATCAAAAATGCGGGATTAACTCACTTGAGCCCGAGCTATTTAGCACCCAACAACGATTGCAGCCTGACATTTTTGGGGTCTATTGAAGCGATAACCACAAAAAAAACCCAACCTGTGAAAGCTATCATTATTTTTTTTAATATTCAACAAGAGAAAGAAAGAAATGCCTTCACTGAAAAAGAAAACGGCATCTAATTTGTCTGAATAGTTTTTATTTTATCAATATTTCGAAAGGCAATGTCTGGGGGTTCTGCAATTTTTTTGCACTCAATTTATAATAAAATCATCTATTGCAATGCAAGGGTGACCAACTTAGTTCGCTACAGCTAAAAAAGTATAGCACATAACTCCACCTAATTTTTAACGAAACGAAACCAGTGGGTCCACTGTTGGCTCGCAGCTTCCCATAGCTTGTAACCTAAAAACACAGGAGGTTACTCTCAAGTGAGTTGAAACTTTTAACAGCTTGCAGACAGTATGAAGTGTAAACCAGATCTTCAAAAAGCAGGCACATGCCTTTTGATCAGAACAAGAGATGCACACGACGAGCAATGTAGAAGTACTTTTTACACAAATCAGTCGTATAAAATAAGCACCAAGTACTGTGCATACTTGTACACGTAACAACTACTACTGTAATTAAATATGTAGTACTGAGCAGCCACTTTAAAAGTAAACTAACCTTCTTTCTTTGCAAACATTTCTTTCTCCATTTACAGCACTAACCTGCTGTCTCCTTCATTTTAGTCAACACAAAAGCCCCGATTTGACTTGGAGAATACATTTTTCCTTGTGCCTCAACCCATGCATCTCCATTTGAGGACTTCACAATCTTGTAGGGCACTGTTTTTCTGAAGACAAGCAATTCAGAATGAGTGAGTAAATCACCACAACAATCAAATTTTATGTTTATAAAAAAAAACCAATCCCCTATAACCAAGAGCATGAAAGTGGACAAATCTTTAAACCCAAGACAGCAAAGACGAAGATGACATGACAAAAAAAATCGCAAATATTTTTATTTAACTTCAGAATGAGAATGAAATTCAGCATGTTAATATCATTTCCCATTCTATATTATCATAACTTTCAAAGAAGCAACTGCCCACACCAGCTGATGCAATCCACCAACATTATTTCAAAAAAATCCTTAAAATACATACTAAAAAGACATGACGCCACCCATAAACCAGATGGTACAATGAATTCACACGCACTATTCTCCTGCATCACAGCATGCCCATAGAAGTTCTTTGAAGTTTGAGAAAACAATTAAGTAAAAGGTGGATATCCAATATAAAGCTAACAATATGGGTATTGTTAAATAATTTTTCGATTATACTAGAACAACTCACAAATCTTTTTGGACCTCTGCGTCTTCAAAGCGTCGGCCGATCAAACGTTTAGTGGCATGCAGAGTATTCTCTGCATTTGTAACAGCCTGTCTTTTGGCAGGCATACCAGCCAAACGTTCTCCATCCTTAGAGAAAGCAACTACAGAAGGTGTGGTCCGTGATCCTTCAGAATTTTCCAAGACTTTAGCCTGTTTGCCTTCCATAACAGCAACACAGCTGTTGGTTGTACCCAAGTCAATGCCGATGACATGACCTTTTACTTTGTCAGATCTGAATGAAGGTAAAAAAGGAGGCCACTTGATGAATAACATTTTCATAGAGGTAAAAACAGAAAACTGGAAATGGATTACAAAACAAGACTCCATACATAGTTGTTGAATTACACACCAAAAGGATACAAGGTCATTAAATCTTTCTCTCAATTTTCAGTCAAAGCAAGAAGAGATTATTCTGACACAACCCTCTCTTTACTATACATTTCCTGGTTTGCTGAGTTTCAAGGAAAAAGCATTTATTTTTCAATCTGCAAGCAAGCATTGCCCACCAAAATATGCAGTAAATATTCATCATTTACTGAATATTTGATAATGAAATATTACAGCTAAACAGTGTAATTAGTTCAAATAAAAATATCACTACCTCAAAATAAAATATCAACCCTTAAAACCCTGTACCGCTGACGCCGTATTTTCCTATACCGCTGGTCAACTTTATCGTTTAATCCCCAGTGCTAAAACAGGGACAGATGACTCTGTTGCAAGCAGAAAGTACTGATAACGTAATGAGAGCAGTGTTACACCGAAAATTAGGAAATTTTGCGAGATTTTTAAAAAATTAGTCACTTTTCGCTGCCAGGCCCTTCAGGCCGCAAAATTTTTGACATTTTTTATCCTGAACCAGACCCCATTAATGATCTCCCAGTGGGATATATATCAATAAACACGACAATTGAAGACGATTGCAATGTTCCGCATAACATCGATGATGATTTTGACAATGGTGGAAGTGGCAGGGGATCACCACTAGAGCTACCAGAGGCTAGATCATATGTAAGGCTGGGTCTAATGATGCTTCCACTGAAGTGGAGTCAGGGATCATACAAAAGACTTACTCATAGAGTCGATCCTAAAAACCAGTGTTTTAACCTTTTCCCCCTTTGTCCAGACTGTGCATTCATATATAAATAACATTTTCAAACTTCGGTAAAATCTAACAATTAAAGACACAGTAATAAAACTGAACCAACCTAATTTTTTCTAGTATCTCAATTTTAATTCAGGTTTCTAGGTAGGTATGAAAAAAAAGAATTCAGGGTTTTAAAGGTTAATAGTTTGCAAAAGGATATTAGGGCCTTAGTAAAATTACAGTATGAACAAGACAGGCATTGTACAATAAAATAATAAATTAGGTCTACCTGAGCATAAGACAGGAATGACAGTAAAATAATAAACCTACTACAACTTTACTTACTTGAACCGTTTTTGAAGGAGGAAGCCTCTCCTGAAGGCACCAGAGAATATGACGATCTGCAAAGATCAGATGAAAAAAACATATATATACAAAAAACAAAAAATGGGTGGTGGACTTCAACGAACGGAACTACAAGATCATAGGGCCTAATTTGTGGTGGATATTAAGACAAAATTCTCGTGTAAAACACAGATTCTATCTTGGATATGGCAGTCCCGACTTGTGTAAGTAGGCCTACTGGATATCGATACTGATTCAAATAGTCGGTATCAATGTTTTAGATCTAGATTAGATCTATGGTGTTTTATCAGTAGCCTAGATCTAGAATATCAGTAGCCTAGATCTAGAATCTAAATCTAGCCTTCAAAATGAGCAGTAAAATTTCACTTTTTAACAAGGCAAGGGAGGTATCAGGGGGGGCGACCTAAAAAACACACCAAAACATGGGGTGTTTCAGGGGGGCATGCTCCCCTGATTTTGACCACGATTTGATGTTTTGCAATTAGGTTTGATAAGCTATTCTCTATATCGGCACGCGCATCAAAAAGTAATCGTTTAGTCTTAGTCTTAGTTTTGAACCAGAAAGACTAGATCTCATCGTCGGTGGGGTCAAAACTAGATTCTAGATCTAGATTTTCTCCTTGTTATTTTGGCGCTTTTTCTGTAGTTCCCACCCCGCAATTGTTATTCACGGGATTTGGCCCCAAGAGTAGGGGGGTTTCAAGGGGGCTTGCCCCCCTGACCTGCCTAATAAAAATAAGGTGGGGGGTTTCAGGGGGGATGCACCCCTGAATTTTACCACAATTTAATGTTTTGAGGTTGTTAGTTTTAATATCTTAGGAAGTGGCTATTCTCACCAGGGGTGAGAATAAAAATACGATCTAGATCTACCTCTCACCCCGGGTGAGACTTGCCAGCGTAGGCTATTCTCACCCGACGTGAAACAAGACCTGTTTTTCTTAATTTTGGAAAACTGTCTATCGGTGTGGATGATTAAATTGATAAAAGCCAAGAAAAAATTATGTTATAGCACAAAAGTAAGCTAATTTGATCGTTTTCAAAGATGCTATGGCTATTTCACTTTTCGAATCGAGCCAAACTAAGTGGGTCGCCATTTTGCTTTGCCCGGAAGTTCTCGCAAGATCTACTCCTCCCCTCTCTCTCTCTCTGTCTCTTTCCGTATACTGTCTATCGGTGTGGACGATCAAATTGACCAAAACAAAGTTAAAAAATGATGTTAAAAAAGAAAACTAAATTAATTTGGTTGTCTACAAAGATCTCTCTCTTGCCCTTTTTAACTCCCAGTGGAGCACAGGCCATCAACAACATTACTCCAGCGAAGCCTGTCCTGAGCATCCTTTCCTATCTGTTTCCATGATGTCCCCGCTTCTTCAATTTCCGCTGATACCGCTCGCCTCCATGTCATCTTAGGTCTTCCCTTTTTACGCTTTCCTTGTGGGTTCCATGTTAAGGCCTGCCTGATGATGCTTGTCCGGGGTCTCCTCAGGGTGTGTCCAATCCATTTCCATTTCTTCACCTGAATATCTTCCTTTACTGGCCTTTGGCTTGTTCTCTCCCACAGTTGAGCATTCGTGACTCGATCGTACCACTTGATCCCCACTATCCTTCGTAGGCATCCATTTACATCTACAAAGATGCTGGCTATTTAACTTTCTGAATCGAGCCGAACTACGCGGGTCGCCATTTTGTTTTGCCCGAAAGTTCTCGCGCTACTCCTCTCTCTCTCTTTCTCTCTCTCCACTGCCCACATACAAAATTGCACGCTTTTAGGCTAACACTAATCTCTCTCTCTCTCTTTCTCTCTCTCCACTGCCCACAAACAAAATTGCACGCTTTTAGGCTAACACTAACAGTAGTAATAGATCTAGAACGTTTGTTGACAGCACAGAATTCTATAATTCTGTTATCACAGTGTAGAATTCTGTGGTTCAGGGTGAACGCTTCACTGGTTGGCCTAGGCTAACGGAGAACGCCCACCGGGTGAGAATAGCCAAAAGACTCGCCTGCGCGAAGAGAATAGAGGTGGCCATATCTTAACTCGCCGCGAATCAAACATATAGATCTAGATGAAGGTCAGGCTCAATAAGGGGGGTGGGAACTACCGAAAAAGCGCCATTATAAATTTCTCTGTCACAAAAGTCAGGACCACCATATCAAAGGAGGGGAGGACTTCCGTAACGAGCGACCACAATGAGACAGAGCAGAATTGAGGGCTAGGGGTAGGGGTAGGGGTAGGGGTAGGGTTAGGGTTAGAGTTAGGGTTAGGGTTAGGGTTAGGGGTTGGGTTAGGGTTTGGGGTAGGGTTAGGGTTAGGCCTCTTCTTTATTGTGTTTGATGGGGTGGTCGCTCATTACGAAAGTCCTTCCCAAAGGCAGGCAGAGTACCAAATGAGTGAGCATGAGACAGGTCCATCATTCAGCATGAATAAAAACACCCTTCTTCAATTACTTCAGTTCAGTCCACACAACGCTTAAAATTAAAGAGGAAATAAAATAAAGGCAAAGTAATAAAGGAAATGCTCAACTCTCAACAATCATCAAATTATAAGACTTTATTATTAGAATCTAATCTAGAATCTAGATCTATATTATAAAATAAATGGGGAGCAGAATAAGGAGAACAACTCTTGAAATCATAAATGGCAATTTAGTGTCAATAGTAATAGTCATACTGCATTAAGAATGATTCTAGATTCTAGATATCTAGATCTAGATCTAATATCTAGAAGAATCTAGATTTAGATCCAGAATCTAGATCTAGAAATCTAGTAGATTCTCAGTCTTCCGAGTCCAGCTAGCAGGCACTTGTAGTACTTGTACTTTGTGTAATTTACGCAGTTCACAAGAAGCAAGCCAAGACTAGGCACAAGGCTATAAGGAGACCACAGAGCTCTAGAATCTAATTTAAATTGAGTTTCACTTCATTTTTTACGGAGCAGGAGCTTCATCCATTCAATTGCAACTTACATTCTTAGAAATTCCAGGCATTTTGAATGAAATTTTCCAACTACAGCTGAACGATCTTCAAGGGTACCCTTCCTCTCGCACGTGTGGACTATGTAATGATGATAACTGTCGGGCAAGGTCAGTTCGGCTTGCATCAGGCTGATTAACTTCCGGTTGAATCTCCAAGGGACACTACTCGGAAACTTTGGAATTTGGATCAATTTATGAAACTAGGCCTATGCTAGGACAGGAATTGTCATGATTGTGCAACGTAGCCTCGTATTACCAAAGATTCTCTACTCTACTAGAATCTGTTTTATGTAAACCAGTGTGTGTGTGTATATGTGTGTGTGTGTGTGTGTGTGTATGTGTTGAATGGACTTGATGAATGGGTACTAGATCTAGATCTGATTTGACTTGCCATGATGAGGGAACAAAATTTAGCAGACAACGGCCAAACAGCTGATCGGTTGTTTACAATCTGACCTCTCTTCAGGAACATTTTCAACAATAGGAATAGGACGTTTTACAAAAACATCATCATCTGAAAAATCAATGGTCTGAGTTTCACTTTCTACACAATCAAAAGCTTTCTTTTGGACAAAGTGTACCACTTTACATCTTATCATTTCCCAGTATCAGAAAAATATACCAAATATGCTGGACTGCACCTAGCCTATCATATTCAACAAAAACTCCCTTTTTGTATCTCTCGTCTAATTTTTTTCTTATGTACACATAACAGTCGCAGCCAAAGACTCGCATGTTCGAAATATTTGGTCTGCGCCCTGTCAGTGCTTGTATTGGTGTTTGTTTCAGCCTTGCATTGAAACATCTGTTTCGATTGTACACTGCTGTGTGCACTGCATATGGCCGTACAACGCTTTTGGCAGCTCACCTTCAAGGAGCATGCATCTCCCCATTTCAAAAATGGTACGCCACTGCCTTTCAGCTGTCCCATTTTGGTGGGGCGAGTAAGGAGAAAACATTTCTTGCTTAATCTGATTCTTCCTGATGAGTGCCTTACACTCTCCTGAAGTGAATTCCGTCCCATTATCTGATCTTATTGTCTTTACCTTCCCATAGGGGGCTGAATCTGCAAAAACCTTTCTGTTGCCATCATAGTCTCACTTTTACTTTTCAAAAAGTACACAAACATGGCACCTGAAAAATCATCTGTAAATGCAGTTGCATACTTAAAGCCTTCATGTGAAGTAAGAGTTAATTGGACCTGTAAGATCAGTGTGCACCAACTCCAACGGAGAAGTGGCACGTTCACGTGGATTCTTACTTCTCTCATTCGTCATTTTTCCCTTCACACACACACACTTCACATTCCTTCTTCTTCGCCTTCCCACTTATCTTCATGCCATCAACAACACTTTCAAGCCTCAAAACATCATCAAAATTGCAGTGACCAAGTGTTTCATGCCAACCCATAATATCCTGAGTATAATTCATTTTGTCAAAAGTATCATCTGAACTGTTTGTGAGAGAATATAATTTTCCCCGCTTTTCGATTGGAAAGCTTACAAAACCATCTTTGACTATATACACAGAACTTCTAGTCAAATCAGATCTAGTACCCATTCAACAGGTTAAATGGGCCCAGTTCACGGTACAGTAGACTTTTATTCGATGGGGATGAGAATAAATATGAACAATGGGAGGTGAAGTTTCTAGGGTACATGAGACTGCAGAAACTGAAAGACGTCGTATTGGCAGGGGATGATGAAGAAGTTGACCTTTCTCAAAATGAAGAAGCATAATATGCTGAGCGTATCCAATTTTCAGATGACAAGAGTTTATATTTGGTTATTTATGCGAGATGCTGTAGATGATGGAAGAGCAGCTCTCAAGATTTTACGCCAACACTATGCAGGCTCAAGCACTCCAAGAATCATTAGTCTGTACACAGAACTGACTTCACTCGTGAAGAAACATGAAGAAGGTGTGACAGACTATTATCATCAGAGCAGAAACAGCAGCAGCAGCGCTGAAAAATGCTGGTGAGACTGTCTCAGATAGCCTTCTATAGCTATATGATCTTAAAAGGTCTACCTGACACCTTCCAATCGTTTGTCGATGTGCATGTGATCATGCAGAGTGAAAAGAAACAACAGATAACAAAATTCAAGATCGCCTTGAGGAGTTTCGAAGAGACTGGAAGATCAAGGGTCCAGTCTGGTGATTCTCTTCTGAAGAGTGCGCAACGAGCAGCCAGGCAAGGTATCGGCAGTGTTACTGTTAGAGCTTCTACGGGTGACAACAAGAGTCCACCCACATGTTTCAGATGTGGACAACCCGGACACTTCTCAAAGAATTGCAGGCAAAAGAAACTGTGGTGCAAACTATGCAGAAAGAATAATCACTCTGATTACACGTGCAGATATCAGAGGAAGAACACAACAGATACAATGAGGCTGCGAATGCACTACGCACAGATGACCAAGAACATAGGCCTACATTCGCATTCAAAGTGAAAACGAACATTGATGAGAAAATCAAATTCAAAGCGGACTTACTGGTTGATTGTGGGGCTACTGCCCATATTTTGAAAGATATGTCAAAGTTTCGTTCATTTGATAAGACGTTCAGATCTGAAAAACACTCCATAGAGCCAGCAAATATGGAGAGAGAGTGAATGTTGCTGTGAAAAGAGGAAATGCGAATATGAAATTTAAGGATTCTGATGGTAACTGTGTAGATGTTACTCTGAAAAATGCTCTGGTAAGTACCAACTTTTCCTCAGAATATTTTTTTGGTTCAGGCCGCTACTGACGAGGGGGCAAGTGTTTCATTCCACTCAGATACAGCAGAACTTCTAGTCAAATTAGATCTAGTACCCATTCAACAGTATGTTTGTGTGTGTATAATATTTATTTGTTTGTTTGTTGTTGTTTCCCCGAGGTACATAATTGTTGGTCTATGTAACACACCATGACAATATAATAACTTCTGTCATTTATGCTTTAAATTTGGGACCCATCGAGACAGCAAGCTACGGTGGGCTTACCCAGCTGCACATAGCAAGAATTATACTATAATTGTTCGCTTTTAAGGACAAACATGCTAGATCCAACCCACATTTCGGGGGTTTCCAGCAGAAATCTTGACCTAGGCCTACACCAAAAGTGGGCATTGCCCTACCAAAGAGGAGAAGTTGGGTTTCATTGGTATTTGTTTGGTTAATAGAGCGTCATTGAAATTAACGGGTGCCCTGGACGTGGCTGGTCTTCCAGATTCAATTATATGGCCGCATAAAACAGACTACACCAGCGATGTCTTTAATGCTTCCTACTGAGGCGAGTCTCGCCTCCCTTCCTTATACTCAATTACGTTTTCGCCCTACAAAATCATTTTTAAAAAAATATTTTGGTAGGATTCTAGCTTTTGTCATGTAGAAAATGACTCAATACGCACTTCTTTAACCATTATTCTATTATATGATAGTTGCTATATTTGATAAGATATAGATCTACTACTGTACATGCAAGAAATTAGCGTTAGTAGTTCACTGCACTTTGTTGTACAGTCGGTGCCGCATTCAACGAGGTGACATTCAACGAGAAGTCAACTCCAACGAGGCAACCCTTAATCCCCAATTTTTTCCTCTGTATCTCTTTGTAAATGCACGTCAGCTCCAACGAGGTTGCAAACAGACCGAAGTCGCTTTCAACGAGGTCGCTATAAACAAATAAAAGCAATTAGCGGCCCCAAAAGCGAAGAATATTATTTCTCCTTTCTCTCCATCTCACGCGAAGCACAAGGCCCATCCTCGATTCCTAAATCATTGATTGCTAGATCTAGTGTGCCTCTTAATAAGGGCCCAAACGCCAAGAGGATGGGCGAGGGTTAGCCTACGGTAGGGATGGGAGGGGGTGTGTGGGAACGTGATGCGGGCTGTGTGAAACAGGATGAACTCCAGATGGGTAGGTCTAGATCATAGATGTACACTATGAGATAACTCTATGGCCTAGATAGAAACCTTCTTTTTTACAAATTCTTTTCTTCCCCTGATCAGAAAGTCCAAGCTCCCGCCTTTACTTTATGTAGATCTAGGCCTAGATGTGAGAGGGTATGTTTCCACACTAGAAGTAGAAGAAGTGCAGATTCATGCCTTTCTTTGGGAGAGTGATGATAAGAGATTGCGTCCAGGATGTGGGCCATTCACCCGTATTTTATTGCAAATGCTAGTGAGGATGCCCATCACTGTCTCTCCTCCATACTTCATCAGTTCTGCAAGGATGTTGTTCTTTAATCTGGCTTTAAAGTTCAGCAGAACCATGGCGTGATTGCTTCCGACATCTGCACCAGGATACGTTCTTACGGTAGCTCTTTTGATACCTGACCTAAATCGTTTCTGCATCAAGATATAATCCATCTGGTTGTGATGGAATCCGTCTGGCGCATGCCAAGTCCATCGTCTTGATGCCTTGTGCTTGCCGTGTGTATTTGCTAGCACCATGTTGTTGTAGCTGGCAAACTATAGCAGACGTAGCCCTCTTTCATTGGTTTTGTCATTGCAAGATGGGCCGCAGATTTCCTTTAAGTCTTTCAGTGTGTCTCTTTTAACTTCTGCGTTCCAGTAGCCCTAAATGATCAGCACGTCTTTTTTTGTTGCCTTTGTCAATGAAGACAGATACATCTAAGTCAATTCCAAAATCAAACTACTCTACGCCCTCCGTCATCTTCATCCTTCTGTATGCTTGTGAATCATGGACCTTGACAGCAGAGCTGCAGAGGAAGATCTCAGCAGCCGAAATGAGACGCTTTGGACGACTCTTTGGTTGCTTGGCATCCCATACACTGACCACGTCACAAAATTAAATGAGAAAGTGCACAGCAGAGTGAAACAACACACGAGTCACTATTTAAACTTGTATAGACATGTCACAAGATCGTGTGGCCTATCCAAGACCATTCTTTAGGGAACTGTGCAGGAGAGAAGAAAGAGAGGAAGGCAAAGAAAGAGGTAGACGGACAACATTGCGGAATGGGCAGGGAATCCTTCGCCCAAACTCAGGCGCTCACTCGCAAAACTAAACAACAACAAAACAAAAAAACTGTGATAAGTGGAGGCACCTGGCGAGGCTCTCTATCGTCGATCCTCGTGGATTATGGGATCAGTAAGCAATTAGCGTGTACACTGTGTTCAT